AGACCGCTTTCCAAATACGATCAAATGCAGCTTATACATGTATTTCTGATAGGGTCGAATTTGTTATTTACACCTTAGAAACCCATCGACTGTTTACACAAACAATCATATATTATCGAAAGTAATCGTATATTGAATATTGAAATGTAAATGACTTGCCAGCTGTTCACTCTTTGAACAAAAATTGTGAATAGAGCCGATTATCGGAATCAAATTCACACAATAAAAAAAAAGCACAAAAGCACAATCCTTGCTTTAACTCGTATCAATCCCAGTAGCTGTAACCAAGAATAAAAATAAAGAGAATGTTGGGTAAACATCAAAAAGACTGCAACAAAAATAACCAGGGCCCATTTGGTTGAACTTAGACAGAATTGCAACAACTAAAGGACATCATACAGACTGTACAATATGTCAAATTAAAAATTTCCCCAAGTCATAAAGACATAAAATTGTTTGACATCCAATCCTCATCCTATCTAGCGAAGTTCCTGGCTTGGGTCTGGCACGTAAAAATGTTGTGGGGGTTAAAGTGGTATTTGAAATTTATTGTTCCCCCGTTTTTAGTCTCGATAAGTAGATTTACTATAACTAGAGGCTCCAAGGAGCCTGTGTCGCTCACCTGATATTTTTGTTTACAATTGATGCATGAAATAATGCAACCATTATACTTTTGCTTTAGTTTCAGAGATATAAGCCAAAAACTACTGCATTTTACCCATATTTTCTATTGTTAGCCATGTCGGCCATGTTGGTTGGCAGGCGGGGTCATCGGACATATTTTTTAAAATAGATACCCTAATGATGATTGCGGCCAAGTTTGGTTAAATTTGTCTCAGTAGTTTCAGAGGAGAAGATTTTTGCAAAAGATTACAAAAATTTACGAAAAATTGTTAAAATTTGACTTTAAAGGGCAATAACTCCTTAAGGGGTCAATTGACCATTTTGGTCATGTTGACTAATAAGAAGATCTTACTTTGCTGAATATTATTTCCGTTTACAGTTTATCTCTATCTATAATAATATTCAAGATAATAACCAAAAACTGCAAATTTTCTTAAAATAACCAATTCAGGGGAAACAACCCAACAACGGGTTGTCTGATTTGTCTGAAAATTTCAGGGCAGATCGATCTTAACCTGCTGAACATTTTTACTTATTAGATGCTCTAAATGCTTTAGTTTCAGAGATATAAGCCAAAAACTGCATTTTACCACTATGTTCTATTTTTAGCCATGGTGGCCATGTTGGTTGGAAGGCAGGGTCATTGGACACATTTTTAAAATTAGATACCATATAATGATGATTATGGCCAAGTTTGGTTGAATTTGTCTATGGAGTTTCAGAGAAGAAGATTTTTGTACGAGATTACAAAAATTTTAGAAAAATTGTTAAAAATTTACTTTAAAGGGCAATAACTCCTTAAGGGGTCAATTGACCATTTTGGTCTTGTTGCCTTATGTGTAGATCTTACTTTGCTGAACATTATTGCTGTTTACAGTTTATCTCTATCTATAATAATATTCAAGATAATAACCAAAAACTGCAAATTTCCTTAAAATTACCAATTCAGGGGCAGCAACCCAACAACGGGTTGTCTTATTTGTCTGAAAATTTCCGGGCAGATAGATCTTGACCTGATGAACAATTTTACCCCTGTCAGATTTGTTCTAAATGCTTTGGTTTTAGAGATACAAGCCAAATCTACATTTTACCCCTATGATCTATTTTTAGCCATGGCGGCCATCTTGGTTGGCTGGCCGGGTCATCGGACACATTTTTGAAACTAGATACCTACCTCAATGATGATTGTGGTCAAGTTTAGTTAAAATTGGCCCAGTAGTTTCAGAGGAGAAATTTTTTTTAAAAGTTAACGACGGACGACGACGACGGACGACGGACGCCAAGTGATGAGAAAAGCTCACTTGGCCCTTTGGGCCAGGTGAGCTAAAAAAAGTATTAACAAACCGAACTCCAAGGTTAAATTCAAAAAGGGAGAAGTCCATAAAAACTGACAAGATGAAACGTTAGACTATACCAACTAACGGAATGAATGGAAACCAACTGTTCCTGATTTGGTACAGGAATTTTGGGTGGGTTATACCTGGTTTTATAGCTAGCTTACCTGGCCTCCCACATGAATGACAGTTGTTTATACAATGTCGTTCCGTTGTGTTGACAATTTAGGTGAGCAACCCAAAACAGACATAAATGGTTAATGTTTCAATAATTGGGATTCAGCAGAACATACATCACAGACATACAACAGAACTGACTAAAGAATTCAAACAAACATACAAATAAATCTCACAAAGACACCAACAAAAAAGTTATTGTTAGTTAAAAGAAGCCAACAATAAAGCTTTTGTAAATGATAGTTAATACAGTAAATTAAAACATGATTCCGTACTAGTACACACTTTCCCGATTAAGGATGTATACTTAAGTCAGGTTTAGGAATTTTTGTCAGACGTTCGGACTCCTTGTTTTTTTCTCTACAATACAGGGTAAAATATTTTGCCCCATATCAACCATTTTTCTTTTCATAAAGACTTCAATAGCTCATAAAAGGTCATTATCAAAATTTGAGCAGATTCTAGATTTCTTTTCTTTCGATTAAATATCCAAATAATACCAATGCAAATACAAGGTAAAAGTCCGAGTCAGCCTTTTCCCGCCATGTTTTGGAAATTAAATATCTCGGAAAGGAGCTGCATAACCTATCAATATTTTTAGCTTATTTTGTTCCTTAACTTAATATGCTCTTCTGACTTACAGTATCAATTTTAAATTCTTGATGTTTTTAATTTCACCTAAGTACATCTTTAAGTACAAATGAAGTAAAATATTGATATACAATGGTAAACAACCGTGACTGTAAAAACTCTTTCGTCCGAATCGTACTTCTGAACCCACCTGGCTGCACCAGGAAAACACAAAGCAAAAAACCTGATAGCTGGATACAGAAATACCAACTCACGTCAAGAGTCAAACAATCAAAAGGAACATAATAGCACATAGACAAAGGGAAAACTGTAAAGTAAATAACAAGATACACAACTTCGGCACCTAGAATCTTTATCTCAAGACCATCTTGTATTATTTGTGAAGAAGACACTGAATATATCTATTAGGTAAAACGTACATAAAAGACCATACAATAAAAACGGCACAGGAAATCACATATCTTTAAAGAAACAGATTTTGTTGTATTTTCATAGTCTGAAGATTTCTTACAGTAATGCCATAAATAGTACAGGAAAACATGATCTTTTGCCATGCCCAGACCAATTAACGAAAAAAAAAGAAACATTTAAAATATTGGTTCAACTGAAGTTTCAAGGAGCGAATTCATAGAAATTGATCAGCTGTTGTCAACTTCTTACGGCGGACAAGCAACGAACACATAGTAATGAAATGTTTGGCATGTGTTATTTTGAAAAGGAAAAACTATGTTTACCCCAGGAGAGACCATGCATTCCCGTACATAGAACTTTTGCACGTGTTATTTTGAAAATGAAAAACTATGTTTACCCCAGGAGAGAATACTCCCGTACATAGAACTTAGGCATATCTTATTTTGAAAACGAAAACTATGTTTACCCCAGGAGAGACGATTCCAGTACCTATAGCACTTTGGCATGTGTTATTTTGAAAATGAAAACTATGTAATACCCCAGGAGAAACCATTCCCGTACATAGAACTTTGGCATGTGTTATTTTGAAAATGAAAACTATGTTTAACCCAAGAGACACCACTCCCGTACATAGAACTTTAGCATATGTTATTTTGAAAATGAAAATTATGTTTAACCCAGGATAGACCATTCCCGTACATAGAACTTTGGCATGTGTTATTTTGAAAATGAAAACTATGTTTACCACAGGAGAGACCATTCCCGTACATAGAACTTTGGCATGTGTTATTTTGAAAATGAAAATTATGTTTAACCCAGGATAGACCATTCCCGTACATACAACTTTGGCATGTGTTATTTTGAAAATGAAAATTATGTTTAACCTAGGAGAGACCATTCCCGTACATAGAACTTTGGCATGTGTTATTTTGAAAATGAAAACTATGTTTACCCCAGGAGAAACCATTCCAGTTCATAGAACTTTGGCATGCGTTATTTTGAATGATGAAATTATGTTTAACCCAGGATAGACCATTCCCGTACATAGAACTTTGGCATGTTTTATTTTGAAAATGAAAACTATGTTTAACCAGGAGAGACCATTCCCGTACATAGAACTTTGGCATGTGTTATTTTGAAAATGAAAATTATGTTTAACCCAGGAAAGACCATTCCCGTTCATAGAAATTTGGCATGTGTTATTTTGAAAATGAAAACTATGTTTACCCCAGGAGAAACCATTCCAGTACATAGAACTTTGGCATGTGTTATTTTGAAAATGAAAATTATGTTTAACCCAAGAGAAACCATTCCCGTACATAGAACTTTGGCATATCTTATTTTGAAAATGAAAACTCTGTTTACCCCAGGAGAAACCATTCCCGTACATAGAACTTTAGCATGTGTTATTTTGAAAATGAAAACTATGTTTAATCCAGGAGAGACCATTCCCTTACATAGAACCTCCCTTTTATTTGATGTTTGATTTTTTTTTCTATTAATTTGTTTTTAATATTTCATTTTATTTTCTCTTGTATGTGTTCTTACTCTCGTTAATATAATCTTGCAATAACTGCATTTAGGTGTGCCGCCTCTTTTCTCTAACTTATACTGTGAAAAATAAGATAAAAAGACAGCCCTTATAAAGCACAATTATTGTAAAATTAAATGGATAACACTTAAGAACACTTAAAATAGAGGGCATATGTTAATAATTAAAGAATCCATATGCTTTTGACTGTTTATCATATTTATGATGTTTTAAAAGAGAGGCGAAGGATACTGTTAATCACGTCCTCGCCACAATGTATAACAATACTTGCATTACACCCAGCGGATTGTGACGTTGTCGAGTCTATGATTGTGTCGTACTGTCGCCTTGACGTTAACTCTACATTTGGATGTGAGAGGAAGCTTCTGTCGAACGTTTTTCAACTTGTGAGTAATGTCTTTCTTTTTCTATTTTTTTATACGCTGTTGCGTTTATAGAACCCAACACCATATACAGATTACGATTTCCGGATCATAGCCCTAAAAAGCAATTGAAATTAAAGAAAACCCTTTTCCCAATTACATTGATTTTATACGCACTTACTTAGACAATATTATAGATAATCGATATTTTGTATTTGATGAGATAATATATTAACGGGTTTGAGACAGGAAAAAAAAGATGAAGTTTGACAAAACTAGAAAATATAATATATTACCTAATATGTTGACCTAAGGTTTTTTTTATTTCCCATTGTTGGGTTGCTGTCGCAGTGATTTACAATACCCTATATTTCCTCTCTTCATATGTAGCAAAGTTTAGTGCTTTTTTAAACAATTAATCAACCGCCGGACGCTTATTCATAAGTTTTGACAAGAGGTTCTAGGAGTTACATATGGGAAAGAGGATGGATCCTAATTTGTGCCGATATTTTCGAAGTTTGAATCGATGAAACGACATTACAATGGGATTTTAAAGGGGTGCTCATCTTCAAAAAAGTAGACATGGACAGAAATGTGTTTGAAAAAGGGTAATTTAACCCTAATTTTTTCGTAGATTTTATTGAAGGCATACAAATCAACTTTGGTGTTGTAAATCGTTGTATAAACCTTATTTATTATTTCTTGATAGCTATAGTAAGAAAAAAGATTTTCGTATGTCGGTTCTTTTTTAATTTTGAGGATAGGTTTATTTGTTGATAGCGATTTCTTATAATCTTTAAAGAATATTATCTGTAATTTAATTTATGAACTTTATTTTTTATTAATTTGGGTGTGGCAATTCCGGTTGTAGTCGTTCAGATAAAAAAAAAGAAAGAAAATGAAACTGTCAGAAAACTATTTGGTTGTTTTTTTTCTCACATGAATTGCAGTTTCACGTATAGATTTCGTAAAGATCGAAACCTTTCATTAGAAGTTTCTAACAATACCAGTGCAAAAAAATAGAAAAATAATACAAACGGTTTTAAAAAGAAAGGAGGACACAACACTAAACAGAACTCTCACTTAGAGAAAATTATTTTAGGTGTAAAAGAAGAATTTTGAAATAAAAAGACAGGACTGAAATTTTGCATGAAAAATACATACCCATTCCCAAAAATTAGTCATGAACATGTTAATATCAAATATTGCTGCTAGAACGAACAATAATAATAATAATAAGAAAAAAAAATAAAAAGTTAGATAACAGATAAAAGTAATAAGGTTTGGTACTAGATCATCTTTGTTTTGCATAGGTAGGCTGTATGCCTTCATAGATAGGTGTCTAATATATACGCAGACTAAAGAAACGGGAGTGTAACAAGTGTAGAAATACTCTGAATGAATACGATATCGATCGCGGATTTCGATTAAAAAAAATATTGGATTCACACCACCAATATAAGAGTACTAGTATGCAGTTTCACAGTAACTCTGAAGCACGATTTTGATTACTGATAAAATAAATGTTAATAATTTGGAAAGAGGTTTCTTGGAACATTTGCAGACACAGCAATATAATATTGTTTGTAATGACATTTATATAATATTGGCATCCAGTAGAATTGAAAAAAAGATCAAATTCTTCATCGTTTGTTACAATTCCAAAGGAACATAAAACAGCTCTTTGATCCTATGATTGTCAAGGATTTTCTCCTTAGTATCATGGGAGCTTCCAAGAAAAACCAAAAAATATGTAATTACAGGATCCCCTCATTTTCCATTGGCAGTCCATCCTCTCTATTAACCTTCTATGCAGAACTTACCTACTTTTCACTTGTCATTTCGTTCTCGTCATGAATATGTTTGAAATATTTGCCACTGGATGTAAAGCACGCTACAATTAAAAAACATTTTGAGCAGCAGAGATTGTTCAGTATTGATATAATGCATCTTTATATATTATTCTAATATACATGTTCCATGTCTATCTAACAAAAGAATTATGTGTGAAGCCAAAACAATAATTTATTTACCACTCATAATTTTGTTGTGTGTGTTTTTATTGGCATTAATTATTAATTTGTTCTTGTACTAAACATGCTTGGACATTAAGCAATCAGTAATCAATCTTTTTTTTACAGGCAGCAAAATAAGTCTTTAGAGATTACTTTTTGGCATTTGTTAGTTTAAGCTTGAATGTTTTATATGATTTTTTTTAAATATTACCTCTTACCTAGGTGGACCCAACAAAACATAGTTAAGGGAAAATGATTAAAGATAATAATAATCTACCAAAGAAGGCTTTGTTTCCTAAAACAGAAATCATGCATTCTTCTTGCTATTATATTGGGAGCTCTGCTTTTCAGATTTCAGAAAGGAGCCATGCAAAACACTACCATTTTGCAATGCCCATTCTAAAATTATTTTGAATAATAGTCTTAGATGCATGATTTTTTTATTAGTTGTTATTGGCTTTGAACTAGCTGTCAGTAACTACGAGTACTCTCAGATCTGTACTTAATGTCTTTTTTGTTGTGGGGATGTATAAATATCCTGCCACATGCAGTCTGTGTTTCTCTGCTTTGTATTGATCTGATGAGTTAAGCCTTTTTCAACTGAATTTTTATAGTTTGTTCTTATGTTGTACTGTTACACCAGTCCCAGGTTAGGGGAGGGTTTGGCCCCAAAAACTAGTTTAACCCAGCCACATTCTGTATGTGCCTGCCTCAAGTCAGGAGCCTGTAATTCAGTGGTTGTCGTTTGTTGCTGTATATCATATTTGTTTTTTGTTCACTGTTTTGTACATAAATTAGGCCGTTAGTTTTCTCGTTTGAATTGTTATACATTTGTCATTCTTGGGCCTTTTATAGCTGACTATGCAGTATGGGTTTTACTCATTGTTGAAGGCCGTACAGTGACCTATAGTCGTAATCTTCTATTTCTTTTGGTCTCTGGTGGAGAGTTGTCTCATTGACAATCATACCACATCTTCTTATTTTCATAAGTAAGACATATCAGATTTCAAGATTCTCTTTAACTGGTTGTATTTATCAACATAATACTTTAAAAAATGGATTTTAGTTTTCCTTTTAGTTCCTGTTATAGTGATCATACTTCCACAAGAAGTACACATATTATGGATAAAATTTATAATAGTGATATACCCAATATGAAACAAAGTACCATTAACATGATTAATGAGATACCAGACAAGCAAAGGACAAGGTTCACTTTTACCAAAATAAGTATCTGAATTTCATATATTAGATCCATCTTATTACTTATCAATCAAGGTCAGGATATGCTTTTAGGTCATTGCCAAACATCATATGGAGAATAGCTTATATGACAGCAGGTACTATATAATTATATGTATTGCCTAGACAAATACCAGACAGATAGACTAAGTGATTGTATATATCATTACACATACTGTTATACATTTTTGTTTTCTTCCAGAAGTTGTGTGGAAAAACAAAAATTTACAAAATGAACACTGTCCTTTATTACTATATTTACAAGTTACAACAGATTTTTTTTTCACATAACTTGTGGTTCAACAAATCAAATGTGTCTTCATGGACATTCCTAAGTTCATGTTTAAAAATCAAAGCTGCCTAGCTGAAAGTCAATAGAAGCACATGTATAAAAAAGATATTTTTCTTGTTTTCATGACTGCTGACAATAATTCTACATAATGTGCAAACAGAATCAAATAGCCAGTGCATCACTTTGTATTTCATGACTGAGTTGAGTTTGTAAATCACTAAGTTTTTTCTTCAGCACAGATAACGTTGAAAACATAATATTTTCAGGTCTCAATGAACCACATGATTCAACATTGTAGAAAAATTTGTTAGCTTTTCCAAGTGGATTTGGTTCTGCTTGTGCTGAAAAAGAAATAAAATATTCAGATTAATAGATATGTACTAGTTGGGAGGGAAAGAGAAAAATAAAGATTCTTATTGATTTATATAGGGTTTCATGCCACTTTTTTTTATACATACTAGAAAACACCAGAGGGTACATGAATAAAAAAAATTATATTTATTTTTGATTTGCATTGCCAACTGATCTTGTACATGTCAGTAATTTATACAAGAAGAAACAAGTGCAATAATGCTATCCCCATTTCTAAAAAAAATAAATTTGAAGTCTCATACCAGTTTAATTTTGATTTTAGTACATTTAGGTATGATGTGTGGACATTTTGATTTGATTTTGGTCAAGTTTTGCTTCATTTAAGTATGCTCTAGTGCATCATTGTTCAGATCTGTTGTTTGTTTTAGTCCTATTTTAGTTTCAGTTTAAAAGAGTCATAAACAGACTCCAGATTTAATTAAATTCTCTGAAAATATTGAAAAAAAATATTCTAAATCCAGGCGAGTCAGTCTTTGCTCTTACTCCTGTGTGTTTGGCAGAAAACATTAAATACAAATAATTATGTCTTTGGTGAGACCTTCTAGTGAATCAAACCCCTAACCTTTTGTTCAAAGACGACAACTTTTGCATGGAGGTATTAAAATTCAGATGAACCATGGTACTTGATATACCTACTGATATAGTTATAACATAAAGTGAGCTGTACAGTTAGTTGTTGACCAGAGGGCCAAAACATCAAGCCTGCGGTGGAAATGTTATTGATCTCATGAAGGTGATAGGTTTTGTACAGGTGCTTTGTTAGACAGTAACTCTAGAAATCTTATCTTAAAGTTGTGGATTAGAATACATCAAGGTCTAACTTGTATGTATTTCTAATTAGAAGAATATCCACAAGTATGTCACACTAGGAGAAATTTACCAAAAAGCGGTAACGCAGACATCAACTGTGCGTTACTCCTTATTTCTTTTTCGGTCTTATATTGGTTTATTACTCTTCAGTGTTTAATACTTTTGAATTTCTAATATTTGATTTTGAGTGACAAGGAAGAGAAACGAATTTTTGAGATGTGAGTTTGGTGATTCAAATTAATGACTGTATAATGTAATTGTTTATCATACATACTTTCTTCTTCTTCAAGTTCTGTGTACTCACTCTTTGGCCTGTAATGATCATAGGGATTCATTTAAGGAGAATATATGAAAGTATTTGTTGCAAATATGCTATGAACTTTTATTTGAACAGGTAAAAGCCTTTTCTTAAAACTGGATACTATATCCCAAACAAGCAGTGTCGATACCTGTATCTTGGCACTGCACAAGTTATTATTGGCTTTGAACTAGTTGTCAGTAACTGTGAGTACTCTCAGATCTGTACTTAGTGTCTTTTTGTTGTGGGGATGAATAAGTACCCTGCCACGTCCACTCTGTGTTTTTGTTAGATGTATTTCTATTTGTATCTGTCTGATGAGTTAAGCCTTTTTCAACTGATTTTTATAGTTTATACTTATGTTGTACTGTTACACCACTGTCCCAGGTTAGGGGGAGGGTTGGTCCCTTCAAACAAATTTAACCCCACCACATTCAGTATGTGCCTGTCCCAAGTCAGGAGCCTCGTAATTGAGTGGTTGTTGTTTGTTGCTGTGTAACATACTTGTTTTTCGTTTATTAGTTTGTACATAAATTAGGCCGTTAGTTTTCTCGTTTGAATTGTTTTACATTTGTCATTTCAGGCCTTTTAAAGCTGACTATGAGGTATGGGCTTTGCTCATTGTTGAAGGCCATATGGTGACCTATAGTTGTTAATTTCTGTGTCACTTGGTTTCTTGTGGAGAGTTGTCTCATTGGCAATCATACCACATCTTATTTTTATAGTGTATCATATTTATCATTACATTATATATTTTTGGGTAAGATATCTATATGTTTAAACTTAATTACTTGGATTAAGAGTATCTAACATTTTTGTATGAAAGATTTCGGTCCTAATCTAAAAGAGGTTCATGAAGGACCTTATAAGGTTAATTTTTTACAAAATCATATGAATATTGCGGTATAGTAATTGATAGTCTTATGACACAAGATTTGAATTGAAATACTGTTACTTGAAAATACATACCATTCTTCTGGTTTGGGGTAGACTGTGTGTCTCAGTGCATTATCTGGATCATACTCAAATGCTACGCCACAGGTTGGGTTCCACTTAGCATGCTCCTTGGCAAATCCTTTCCTTGCAAAAGCTCTAACTTTCAATTCCTGCCCTTTTCTTAATTTTACTATTAAGATATCTACAAAAAAATAAACAATTCCAGTTGATGAAAAATAGCTTAGGTGAACTTTGTTATATCCAAGATAAAGTCAATTAAAGTATGCTGTTTCTCCAAAACCAATATTGATTTCAATACCACTAAACAGATATTTACAAAGCTGCAAGTTAAATTCAACATGAAACTGACCAGCTACAAGAAAGCTAACACCTGAATAAGTCTGTGTGTAATTTATACTTTATGTTATATTTCCATTTTTGCACTCACTTGATTGTGTATTGTTTTGATTGACAAAGTAGTTTTAATCTCATTATATTTCATGTAACCAGTCCTGCCATGTTATTTTTGTGTTTTCATAAGTTATATGTTGGCTGTCAGATTAACCTGAGGCACAATTTCTTTATAATTTTTTGAACAATATGCATGAATTATCAATGGAAACAGTAACTTTTTTGTCCTTCCAACATAACTTTAAGTAAAATCAATGATTGTGCTCGTTACATACTGTAGTAAGAAGTCAGATATTTTTGTACAAATAAAATAATTTTCACAAAATAGGAATTGCCAATGAATTCATGTGCAGCCAATTTTGCGGTATTTTGAATTTTGTATTTATAAATTATATGTTTTATGAACTTAGACATTAAAATTTCCATATAAAGACAGCCTTTAATTGCTTCAAAATATAAATTAGATCAGTGTTACTGTTTACAAAATAACAAAGATTTAAACATCAAGATACTCATTAAGATTTGTAGGTACATGTATTTATAAAAAAGAAGATGTGATATGATTGCCAATGGGACAACTCTCCACAAGAGACCAAATGACACAGAAATTAACAACTATAGGTCACCATACGGCCTTCAACAATGAGCAAAGCCCATACCGCACAGTCAGCTATAAAAGGCCAGATAGGCTGGAAATGCACAATAACTATGCCATATTAATTGGGATTGGGGACACTATTTGTTACTTTTTATCAAGTTTATATGCACTTTAAACTTACCGTCTGTTTCTTCATATTCGCTTGCTTCTTCTTTTCTTTTAGATGTAACCTATGGATATAACAACAATATAACACCAGTTTATAATAATTATATTATCCAGATCAAATGATTTAAACTGTTTATCAAACACTATCACATTATCTTGAAATCATTATACAGACTATAAATAGAATAAATAAAACAGATGTGGTGTTTGCAAACTACAGGCCTATTGAAGAGTGATATATAAACTGATTTTAAATCTAGCCTTGAACTAGGATTTTAGTTATGTTTATGTAATAATCAGTTCATATCTGCAAGGAATTTCTACGCAGATTACTACTAAATTACTTAAAACTTGATAACTGTGGAACAACTTTGCATTTCAAGACAACTTTGTTCTTTTTTCAACAACAAATATAAATGGAATAAGAATAAATCCAGGTCAAAACCTATTAAAAGGAGTAAAAAACTTAATAAATTGCTTCGCCGAGCGCAGCTGATAACGACCGCAGAGGTCCAACCCTGAACAGTTGGGGCAAAAAAGGACACAGTATTCGCACTTGATACAGGTCTGAATTTGGATTGTAATTAAATATTTGACACATAATAGGTTTCTGACACAGAATAACTGTAGTCAAAGAACTTAGAATTGGTTATATGATTTGAATTTATATTCAATTTTTTTGCTTTTGTGCAATACACTATGCTGTTGCGAAATTGACACCCGCCCCCCCCCCCCCCAAAAAAAAAAAATAAATGTTTACCCCCTTTTTTTTTTGCATAAAAAAAAAAAAAAATATTTGAAGAAATTTTCTTTTTAATTTCTGAGAAATGAGAAATGAGAAAAAAAAATTGTTCCCCCCCCCAATTTCTTGGTTACCCCCCCCCCCAATTTTTTTCACCTCCCCCTCCCCTTTTTCCAAAAAAAAAATCTTTCCTTCAAGATATGGTCATTATCTCAATTCAAATTTCAATGGAGTTTGCAACCATAATTACCTATTTAAATACATCATAAAAGTCTTAAAATAGAAAATGACATACATAATCATGTCTAAAATTAATATTCCTTAATCAGCATTTTTAATAGTAACTTCTAAAAATAAATTGACAGCTAATCACTTCAAGACAGTACAACATTTCTTTATACATAATTTAAAAGCAGTGTAAGGGAGGTAATCCGAACTTAACATTGTACTTAAAAGTAATTGTCCATTAACAAGGAAACCCTTGTTTTTCCCCCTAATTCCTAAACGGTTTGAGCCATTACCCCCCAAAGCCAATCCTAATCATTCCTATGTGGTATGGAAACTTGTGGTATAATTTCAGAGAGATCCATACACCGTTCCACAAAGTATTGTCTGGAAACTAGAAAAATGCTTATTTTGGCCCCTAATTCATAAACTGTTAGGACCATAACCCCTAAAATCAATCCCAACCTTCCTTTTGTGGTTATAAACCTTGTGTTTAAATTTTATAGATTTCTATTTACTTATACTAAAGTTATTGTCCAGAAACCAAATGTCTTCGGACGACGCTGACACTGACAAAGACGACGTGATACCAATATACGACCACAAAATTTTTTGCGGTCGTTAAAAAAAAATTAAATAAAGAGTTTAAAAAAAAAACATATCTTCACAATCCATAGTATATCATGATTAAAATATACATTACAAAAAAAATTTCTCTCAAACAGAGGGGTGCACCCACTTCACCACTGTAAGTTATAACGCAGGAACTGAGTCTAGAGGAACTGTATGAAAACTGTCCTCTCATGAACAAATGTTGAGTAACAACTTTTATAGATTATGTGGGTACAGGGAGAAGAATTTAAATGTGCCACCAAGTATAAATTTTGTAAAGGCTGCATACAAACTTTTGCAAAACCAGGAAATCAAATATTCACAAGATACAAATATTTTTCAATTCATGAAAATCGGTACCCATGAAAATAAAAGAATCCATATAGCAAATTTTGATGTACCCTGTTTCACATTTCTACTTTCTGTTTAAGTTCACATTTCATATTACTGATTACAGATTCACATTTTTACTTTCTGTTTACAGAAAAATGGAAAACCTTTGAATTAACACATCATGTCGGAACAATTTAACCCCTTAACAAAGACATTTAGTAGAACTGTTCCAGTGACTAATCCACCAAGTTTACAGAGTATATGCAGGAACACTATTCTACATGCGATTACACTCAAAAGGATCAAGCAGGTAAATATTACAGCATATCTCAGAGGTTTTGATGATCAAAATTAATCAACCCAAATTCCTTTTATAAAGTTTTTCTGTAAGTTGGTTTGTTTGGCATCAATGGATGTACAACACAAAGCTACTGGAAATTTCACAATCTCTAGAAAGTACTTTATCTTAGAAATTTCAGTACTAAAAATAATCAGGAACAAACAGCGTAGTAAATTTTTTCCTAAGAATTTTCCCACTTCAACAAAACAAAATTGTTTTCAATTCTTTTCATTCTCCAAAATGTCTTGAAAAAATAAAAGGCGGGTGAAGTTACCATACAAAGAAAGGGTTTTATCTTGGACACGAAGGATTGCTGATTTCATGATCCACCCATCAAACTAACATAGTCAAATTCACTGATCAATAAAACAAATATCAATTTCTCCTTTTAACTTCTCCTCAACTGGATAAATGAATAAAAGGAGATGTGGGATATACGTCAATGGCACAGCAACACAGTGACATCAACACACATCTAACATACACAATTATGTTGTGCAAAATGCCACATTTGTATACTGGGTAGTTGGATACATATTTTGTTGAATGTTCTTATTTTATAGTTCTGTCACACAGGATTTTATTTCGAATTAAAAAAAAAAATGTACCGAACCTCATTAACCTGTATATGAAAAAATAATAGTAAGAAGAAGCAAGTGTGATATATTTATATCCAGACACAAATTATACTTTTTTTGTATTTCATTTCATTATTAGAAATTTAAATCATACATATAATAATGCACATTTTTTTCTGTATCATCATTTCTTATTTTAATTTCATTGAACATACTTTTTGTCATTTCTAGGCAGATGAGTCACTTCCCCTACCTAAACCTCTAATGAGAACAGTCAGTGTTCTCAACTTGAAGGATTTTGTTATTGATGCAGAAAAAATAGAAGGCATAAATCATCAGAAACAAACCTACCCAGCTACATGTATCTTTGATGGGATCCCCTGTATCATCAAAGTCAAATCTAAAGGTATTGCATACAAATTTACTTTTTCCATTTAAACATATTTTTCACTGAATCTTGATTTTTATTCTTTTGACATGATGGGAATTCAGTGACTGGGGCAATTCTTCATGACCATATGCAGCACACAATCCTAGATGTGTACCTTGTCCATATATATCCACTATGACTACAACATTGACTGCATTGAAATTTTTTCAAACCTATATTGATAAATTTTCAATTTTAACACTGTGGTACCAAAAAAAACCACCAATTTCCTGGTTTTTTAAAAATTTCTTCAAGGATTTTTATCGTGAGATCTCACGATACAAATCCTTGATTCCATAAACTGCATTGCAAAATGTATTTATTATCTGCATCTTTTTTGCAGTTAAATAAGATTGTTAAACATGTTTAAGGCTTTATAAACCATATTTTTTTAATCTTTCCTGACTTATTGCCTAATACTTAATATGGCTGACTGTCAACAGTACTAGTAAAGCCTATGTTAAGTATTGAATATCTAGCAGTGCAGGATGAATAAATATGCACCCTTGTCTAGACGAAAGGGGAAGTGTTTGAAGAAGCCAAAACTCTTTACGAGTAAAAGAAAACTTACAACAACTCTAAGAGACATCCTTAAAGTAGCTTGTGCATTGCTTAATTTCTGCCCCTATCCTCCTTTATAAATGGCAGTACAAATTTCCTACCCTTTATCAACATCCATCATTTTTGCGGAATCTACTTATTTAATTAATACACACTATAGTTGTTGATATAATCCTGAAAATCCATGAAATATTTGCCACTAGACATAAGTAAACAAGAATCAATACTTACTCTTTATCACTGAACCATATATCCAAATATAGCAGAATACAAAATCTTTTTAAATTCCCATGGACAAAGAGTTTATTTTGTTAATATTTTTGAATACTACAGACACTGTAAAATAGTCTAGTAGGTCAGCTATAGCTATAATATTTGTAAAAGCAAAGTTGTCATACCCAGCCACCTTTCTCAGTGGTTGTCATTACTTACTTTTTGCCTTAATGTTGTTTTTTTTATTGTTTTAGCATAAATCCAGCCATTGTTTTTCTCTTTTGAATTGTTTCACATTTTGTCATGCTCGGTTCTTTATATAGCTCACTATATAATATGGGTATTGCTCCATGTTGAAGGCCATACAATGTCTTATAGTTATTTACATCCTCCTCTTTTGGTCTCTGGTTGATAGTTGTCTCATTGGCAATCATACCACATATCGTTTTTTTATATTAATAAATATTTTGCCTTTATCCTATAGGTATCAAGCCAGAATTGGATAATCCAAGCTTCATGACCTCTTTTGAAGACAAGAACTCTGTCTGTTGTGTTTATGAAGCGACAGATACTCTTAAAGATAGAATTGTACAATGCAAACTTCAAAACACTAGATTCCAAGAAGTTTTTATATGGCGTATTACCAAGACTCTGTTGGAATTTGCACTAAACGGAAAGATAACTACCTCTACAAAAGTAAACAGTAGTATGATACATTTTTACGGTCCAAAGGGAATAATTTTTCTTGAAGAAGATGATAACCCGATGACTGAGATGATGGGAGCAGATTCAGCAATCTACGAGGCTCCTGAAGTATTAAGACAAGAAGAACCAAATAACCAAGCGTTTTCATGGACTGTTGGGTGTATCATTTATGAAATGTTGGCATTGGAACCAGCCTTTTTTGACAGAACTGGTACTAATCCATTTCAAGTATTTATGGACATGATGCAAGGCCAATTACCACCTGAACCTACAGAGGGTAGTCCAGAAATAATAGAAATAATGTGGCACTGTTTTAAAACAAATCCTGCACAAAGAATTCCTCCAGAAGATTTGCTTCGATTCGCAATAGACCATTCAGAATAAAGCTTCTTTTATTTAATGTCAAACGTTTAGCTCGGAAACTGTTTGCTTATCTTGTTAAGAATCTCTATTTGATTACCTTTTTTTTCCTATTAATTTGTTATGTTACTTTTTCAAGTGATTTATTTTATCCAGATACTTATGTGCTACCTTTTTTTGAAAAACAAATGTCAAAGTTAAATGCCAAATTTTAGATGCTAAGAAATCTTTCTTTTAAATGTAAAATAAACACTGACTAATTTTAATCCTCATCAATACTTTATACATATTGTATGTTTTATCAATAAAGTTTTATCATAATTAATAATATATTCAATTCAATGTAACACAACTTTCAACAGACTTGGCTACTTCATGGTGGTCAGTTTTTATAATTGGAAGAAGCTAGATTACCTGGGAAGAACCACTGACCTTTCAGCAGTAAAACTGGAAAGACTAGTCAATTAAAATCGGAGTCAAACCCATCTTGCCATGAGCTGGGTTTTGAATCTCACAACCTTAGTGTTGACAGGCTAGTGTTTACTGTAGATGAGCTACTTTTCTCAATTGAGTTGTTTCATATTTTTCATGCTGGGGCCTTTAATAGCTGACTATATGGTATGAATTTTTCTCATTGTTGAAGGCCGTACGGTTGCCTATAATTGCTTACAATCTCTTGACGTTGATGGTACATAAGTTGGTGTCCTGGAAACATGTACATCCACTTCATTTGAGCTTTGGTGGATAGTTATTGGCAATCATACCACATCTCCTTATCTTTATACTAAGACCACTTTGCCACAAGTGGATGTGTTTTGGCTCCACTATTGTGGATTCATTAAATTGAATGCTTTCTCAAATTGCTGCATTGATGAAGGTATCATTGACTGAAAATTGGGAATAGATCATTTTTGGTTCACGCATATAAATTAGTTAGAAATATAGTCTATGGAGGAATATTCGGAAGCTAAATTATTGTTCATTCGGAACACCTATTCATCTTATCTGTATTAGCTTCCTGCAATTAAGAGCACCTCCATACGGGGTATCTAAGATATTTAAAACATGACAATAAAGAATTTTCACAGATCGCTAATTCACTTATCTGATATATGATAATAAGCAATCTATAGATCCTTTTCAAACATGTATATTTATTGTAAAGCTACATTTTATGCATTGCAAGGGTTTACTGACTTGAGCAAAGTTGACAGTTGTACCCTTTGATAAACAAGTAAAAGATAAATGGTCAAGATTTAATTATAACGACCTATGCATATGGTATCAAACATCTGTGTCTAGATATTCACAGAGAGATATTTTAAAATAGTGCTAAGGCTTCTACATAATGAGTTATAGTGGGCTTTGGGATTTTATTTGTAACAATAAAATCATTATGCATACTTGTCATTTTGACAAATCAGATAAATATAAATGTGGATAGTGTCCACATGTGGACACAGATGATGCCCCTGCTTGCATATCATATAGTTATAAAGGGACATAACTGAAGAACGGTAAAAGTGACACTACCCAAATTTGAACTTGATCTGAGTTTTGTGGTAATAAGCATTGTGTGTAAGTCTCATAACATTTGGTTGAGGCTAACTTAAGTAGAGAACAGAAACTAAAAATTCAGCAATTTTTCTATTTGTAATGACGCATAACTCTAGAATGGTTGTGTATAAGTTTTACAACATTTGGTTGAGACAAACTAAAAAATTCAGCAATTTTTATGTTTATAATGGGACATAACTCTAGAATGGTAAAAGTGTTGCCACCTAATTTCGTACTTAATCTGTATTATGTAGTAATTAGCATTGTGTATAAGTTTCATAACATTTGGTTGAGGCAAACTCAAGTTAGAGAACTGAAACAAAAAAAATGTACTTGATCTTTACTGAGTTTTGTTGGAATGAATATTGTGTATAGGTTTCACAATGTTTGGCTGGGTAAAACTTCAGTTACAGAATGGAAACTAAAAAATTTTGCAATCTTTCTATTTATAAAGGGGCATAACTCAATAATGGTTAAAGTGACACTACCCAAATTCAACTTGATCTGTGTTTTATCAGTGGTAGTCAAAATTAAACATTGCATTGTATAAAGCATTGATTGTAGTTGATTCAACTATAATCATGGTCAAAGGAAGATAACTCCAATTTTAAAAATATATTATATAAACTTGATATTTAGAAGAAAATAAAAATTTTGCAATTTTTCCTTTTATAAAGGGGCATAACTCTAGATCGGTTAAAGTGACACCACCAAAATTCAAACTTGATCTGTGTTTTGTGGTAATAAGCATTGTGTATAAGTTTCATAACATTTGGTTGAGGCAAACTTAAGTTAGAGAACAGAAACTAAAAATTTTGCAATATTTCCTTTTATAAAGGGGCATAACTCTAGATCGGTTAAAGTGACGCCACCAAAATTCAAACTTTATCTGTGTTTTGTGGTAATAAGCATTGTGTATAAGTTTCATAACATTTGGTTGAGGCAAACTCAAGTTAGAGAACGGAAACCAATTTCGGGACGTACGGACGTACGTACGTACAGACGGACAAGGGTAAAACTTAATGCCCCGACCGGTACGGCGGGGGCATAAAAATCTGTTTCAAATGAAAATAAAACACGTAAAATATTAAAAGACTATTCGTTAATATACATTTTTTACAACTTTTACTGTTTCCTTTTTACAGTATTCTCTATCAATCTTGTAAGCTAATTAAATTTATTTAATTAATTCATGTATGTCACTATTATTTCTTATATTATTCACACACTGTAAATTAATACTATTAAATTTATGTGTGTTTTGGATGTGCACTAGTGATTGGTAAATATTGACCATACGTTTCTGCGTTTTTAATATACGTGACTTAACATCAAGAATTCCATTATTATGGAATCGATCACCTTTGTACACTTCGGTATCTAAATAGAGGGTGGTAAAAAAAGGGGGGAGGGGTCTGAACACGGAAACACATGAAATAACAAATTGCAAAAACGTTGCACGGAAAAAAACACACTGGAAAAACGAAGCCAAGGAATAAAAATATTTAGGAAAAAAGTACCAAAAGTTATTACTCAGCCGTTCTTGGAGATCATGCAGTCATTATAAATTGACATGGCGACCCTGCATGTGGTCACTTTTTAGCGTCCTCTAGTTGCATACGATTTGTCATAGTAATACAATAGGCTATTAATAAATATCTTGGGACCAGTTAATTACTTTATATTTTAAAACAATATCTAGGCTGACTTTGAATTAGCCCCGGTTTACTTTTTAATCAAATGCGGGACAAGCACGAAAAAATAAGAGTACCGACACGAAACACGGAAAATAATTAAGGAAAGATACACGAAGCACGCATGTCGAACCAAACACGAGAAAACAAGAAATAAAATGTCGAAACACGAAATCACGTGAAATAAAAAGGCCGAAAACGTTGCACGAAAATAACCTTTTACCACCCTCTATATAGGTCATACTAGATGTCGACACCTCATATTAGAACTAAAGTAGATGGTCAATTTCGTTTGCTAGGTTAAAGAAATCTTCAACTTGCTCTAATTTGCCTGTGAAGACCATAAAACCATCATCCCTATTGACAGTGTAATTTGATGTTTTCTCTCCATTGGAACTTATCTAAGGTTTTAATGAATAGGACAGACAGATGCAGATCTGTGCATGTTGGTGAAAATATACCACCCATGGGCGCTCCTATAATGTGTTTATAACAGTCCATTAAACTCAAATTCATTGTTTCTAAAAATTAATTTAACAAATGCAGTTAAATCTATTTTGTTGAGAATCTTTAAAGTATATTGTCCTGTGTGTCAATTAATTCTAATGCATTGATAACAGTTTCTTCTAAATTATCAATGATCATATTTGTGTACCTTGACGTACATCATAGGCAATAAGAATGCATTCTTTTTTGACCTCGTGTGACTCTATTTTATTAATGGAATATTTTTATCTTGAATGTAAAAGTTATGCCTCTTCAATAATGGTTTTATAATTAGATCAAGTATAAGTATCTCTCGCAGGAGAGTTGCATTTATTGATGATTGGTCGGTAACAAACATTAATGTGTCCTGCTAGCTGACCAGTTCGCAATGCCTTATTACTTATTTCTAGATTAACTTTATGAATTTTTGGAAGAAGGTACATGTGTCCCCCATGTTTTGAATCATTATTATTCTTTAAGAAATTATACGTCTGGGAATCTATTTTTTTCCTCATTGCTTTATATTTAACACTTCTCTCAACATGCCAAAATTGTAATGATTTACAATAAAAAGAAAATATTATCTTCCACACACATAACCATTTTTTTTAAATATAGATTAGACCGTTAGTTTTCCCGTTTGAATGGTTTTACACTAGTAATTTTTTGGGGCCCTTTATAGCTTACTGTTCGGTGTGAGCCAAGGCTCCGTGTTGAAGACCGTACTGTGACCTATAATGGTTTACTTTTATAAATTTTTACTTGGATGGAGAGTTGTCTCATTGGCACTCATACCACATCTTCTTATATCTAAACACTGATATATAATTTCTTATTCAGTTGAATTAATAATTAGAATAAAAAAGTTCTAAGGTTCACGTATTGTCTTTTTTTTAAAAAAAGCAACTTGTTTATTATTTTAAGAACAATATAGGGAAAATATTCCAAAAGCTAGAAATTTGGTATAGTCAAAACAACTTTACACGACCATTCTGTGACAGTAGATGAGAAAAAAAAACTTCACTTAGGACTAATTTCATCAAGGAAGATGTGATAAAATGTACATACCTTAGTTCAATGAAAATATACACACCCTACTCCCACCCCAAAAAATATTTCCATCTTCCATTTTTAGAAAAGTGGACCACATTCAAGATTTTAGAAGTGTTCAAACTTGAAATGAAAGTGTTATTTTAGCAACAGCAAAGTGATAACAGACGGACCAAGAACAAAATACCTTGAACAATAAGTTGCATGGGTGTAATTACTTACAGGAACACATTTAGGATTACTGGAAATGAGATGTGCACTAGTTACGTGGGTGGTCTGGTCGTCGTTACATTTCATATCCAATGTGAACTCTACTGAACACTCTGGGCAAAACTCTTCACATGTACAATCCTGATAACAAATGTGAAAATAATTAGTTATATAAAGTAAATTCAGAAATTTTCACATGTATTTATAATGAAGATTGTTAAAAATTGCAATTTTAGGAAATGTGCATACAAATAAGGCTATCAAAAATTTTAAATGTGAATTTCTATTTTTGCAAAATCTATCTTGCTCAATAATAAAAACTTTGCAATTTTTTTTTAAATTTACAGTTAGCCTAAAGGTTGAATGTTCTGTTTGTGTAGACTTTCTTTTGACAGTCATATCAAAGGCAAAACTTTCTGATAAATTAATCAAACCATATCCTCCTTTTTCCCAGTTTTTTTTTGTACAAAAAATGTACCTGATAAAAAATATTATATATGTAAAATCTTTTAGTAGCTATGGGTTGTTAACAAATCGGCTGATATGTTTTAATGAAAAGTCGAGAAATACACTTCTTGTACACACAAGGTGATTTGTTAAAATTCACCACAGCTGGTGAATAGTGAATCTGATTGAAACAGGATGATTGGTGTTGATTAAGGGTGACAACACTCTGATAATATCTAATGAATAAACAGACAGATATTTCAAAGTGAATTATACACTTTTCTTAATGTTGAAGGCTGTACTGAGGCTTATAATTGCTAACATCCACTTCATTTAAACTTTGGTGGATGGTTGTCTCATTGGCAACCATACCACATCTCCTTATTTTATAAAATCATCAGCATTAATTGTGAAAATTCACCACAAGAGTAATAATAAAGTGAACACCTTGTGTCACTGTGTACTCTAAACATTATTTAAATTATATATTCATCTTTTAAACTTTACTCTCTTCTACTATGATATATAATCAAATGTTTAAAACGATTAAGATAAGTATTTCATTTAAACTAATCTTGCCTTCACACCAGTATATGCCTCTTTTTACTTTTTATTTTATGTCTGCTGACATTTACAATACATGTTAAAAAAAAGCAACATTGGTATAAGACCTTTAGATCTTACTCTAGAATACTGCATCCTGTCCACTATTTCGTCACTGGTCAGCGGTATCAAACCAATTCTGTGGGACAGAAACTCGTCAAATAACACAGTAGAATTGGATTCTATCTGTACCCAATCTATTGCTGAAAACAAACCTCATCTTACATAAAAATCATAAACGTAGGAAAATCAAATCTCAATTTTACTAATTCACCATGTTTAATTCTAACTGTATTCAAATAATAGGACAATTGTAGAAAAATAATGTTAAACATATACCTAATCATAAACTAAAACATTGTTGACGCCATCCCCAATGGAAACAGTATGCATAAGTCTCACTTCTTCAAACTAGCAGAGGCGAGACAAACATTGATTTTTTCAGTCCAACCATGTTGCATACATTTTTTTTTTTTATCAAACAATTTAAATTGTGAATATTTATATCAAATGAGAGTGATTCTTTGAAAATAATACATGTTACTTACACTAATTCATTCATCCTCGACACATAATTTACAATATGATTTCATGTAGTGTAGATCAAAATTATTTATACATTTAAATAACTCAATCTATCATTCTATATTATACCAACCATCTTACATACAATATTGAGGTCAAGAATTGTGTTTTAAGTTGTGTATTGAGTTGTGTAATACATTGTCTGTCCAATTATGTTAGACAAGATATTTTAACTGTGGTCAATTATGATTGGCATTTAAGTAAAGATAATTCCATTAAATGACCAAACCTTTGAGTATTTATTTGTAAATCATGACAGTTGTCAATCATACTGTCAAATTAGTTCATTTGTGCATATTTCATGTATTTACATAGCCATGAGAGGTATTAATTGACATACAATTCAGTGAGTATAGATTTAGTGACTTACCCAACTTCATTGTTGTTGGTGAGGTTAGATGCCATAGGAAAGAATTGGAACAATAGTTATTGAAAAATGTGTGGGAATCCACTTTGATATCAATACATAATTTCTGTGTCATTTGGTCTCTTGTGGAGAGTTGTCTCATTGGCAAACATACCACATCTTCTTATTTTTATAGCTTGTACCAAATATTATTCAATATCTTACACAAGCATAAGATATTGAAAAAATACTTAAATACTCTTATTCACTGCTTATATTTGATATCTTACCTTTTCACATAAATAGTAATACTTCAAAAAAAATTTATTTGCTAAGGAACAATATATTCAAGTATATATATCTAACAGGTTAGGTAAATAATATAAATGAAAAAAAGCCCCTGCACTACAAGCCTTGGCTTCAGACAGGAACATTAAACTGTGTGGCAGAGTTATACGTGTTTCAACCCTCTCTCTGACTTGCAACAGACTGTAAAATGAAATTCAAATCTTTGTTTCTTAATTTTTTTCATATCATTATGGAAATTTCACTGAGGTTTCTTTCTTTATAGTTTTTGTGAAAGATAAACATATAAGTTACCATGTCTTTTTCAAAAAAATTTAAAATAACATATATATAAATGCTACATAATTTCATATCATATTTACCCATGGTTGGAACTTCAGCTATGCATACTCTTCTAACAGCATTTGCAACACTGTAAAACGAATAAAATGAAATATAATCAGTCGTCAACTGCACAAGTTCATTCCTAGACAAAAAGTTTTATCGTAAAGGCTCATGTATAGAAACTTTAAATGCTTTTTTCATTAAAAAACAAAACATTTCCATCCTCGTCACAGTCAGTAAAGAATTCTGATTTTGAAAGTAAGATTGTACTATTATTTTCTGCCAGAAATTTCAACCAATGTAAATTTCACATGTCTGTGTATATCTTTCCGAACACCATTTGTTTTTTATATATATATCTTATTCTTTATCCAAAAAAATACTTTAATGTGAGTATGAAGTTACCTGAAAACATTGGACAAGTCATTTGTTTACATCAAAATAACTTCATATAATAATAGCAAAATACCATGACCTACATGGGAATGATTCAGCATTGCAGTGCCAGATGACATTTCAGCAGAATAAGGATGAGAATTTAATCATGTTAATAATTTTTTTTGTTTTTTTTGTAAAGCAATACACCATACACGTTATCACGAGGGTCTTAATAGGGGTACCTCCATGACGAATAAAGGTAAAAAATCTTGCCAAATGACGTTAACAGTAATTTTTGGTGCATGACGATAAAAAGGACACTTTCTTTATGACGATAAAAAATCGACTGATTTTGACGAGTCACGTTAAATTCTTTCCAAAAATAACGGTAACGGTTAATTATTTGAAACCTCTGACAAATCAGGATAAAGATATTTTGACAAATCACAATAAAATTTTAACCAATTTGATGCTAACGGTAGCCGAAAATGATCTTTTGATGCCTGATGGTAAAAGGCATTCCTACCCTCTATCACTATATATTCGTCCTTCATTGATTGACATCACAGAAGTTGCCATAAATTTTGATGTCACAAGAGAAAATGAATGAATCCACAAAGGAAAAGTGATCGTTGAATGATGTCAACAGTTCAAGTGTCGCAGATTCCAAAATAGGGATATAAGCAAGGATCCAGAAACAAGTGCAAAATGGCGATTAAGCAACTGATCCAAAAAAAATGACCAAAATTATTTCTGTAAAAAAACTTTTGGACCTAAATCCCAATCTTCCATTTTGGTCTATGACCTTTCAGTTTAGGTACTTTGACCTATAATTGTTTACTTTTTATACATTGTGACTTGGATGGAGAGTTGTCTCATTGGCACTCATACCATGCTTCTTATTCATATTGAACACTTACAGTGTGGCCTACACTGCAAATAAGATGTATACAAACCAGACTAGTAGTATTCTATACAATTATACACCAACATTTAGCAATTTACTCTAAAGATCTTCTTATTACATCAGACAGCTGAACAAGACATAAACATTCTAACCACTGTAAACAAATTCAAACCAATAAAGATTCTTACAAATTCTCATTTTATTCGCACACATAGTACAAATGAACCTACTACCAACATCAGCAATCCTTTGTACAACAGTTGACCCCTTCAAAGAGTACATTTCTATATCTGCTCTTTCACAAATATTTTAAACACTGCATAACATGTACATAGTTTTACCAAGAAATATACATAGGATAACAATCGACACAAAATAAAAGAAAAAAATCACTGTAATATATTTTTATTTTTCAATGTTTTACTTTTCACCAATGTTACTTATTGTATTGTTATAAGGCTTAAAATTTCCTTCTCTTTTTAAATGTACATAAGTCACGCATGCAATTGCACGTAATAGTCAAAGTTGTGACCGAGTACAGAAATATGTATGATGCAGTCTGGTAAAGCCGCCCACACAAGGCTTTGATTGTTTGTATTTCTGCTTAATTATATACAAATTGTATCAAATTTAATGTAAATCAGTTCACCCACAAATCAATTTTGAGTAGTTTATCTCATTTGCCCGAAAATATCTGAAATAAATTTTAAAATCAACAAAACAAGTGGGTCCCCTGTGTTTTTATTTTAATTTTAATTGGATTATTGTTAGCTTTAGGAACTGTATTATATGTACATGATATATCACTAGATATTTTCGAAATAAAGGATTTTTCTTTAAAATTTGACATATAGTGATGATAAGCACAGTTCCTATGAATAAAATAGCAGACGAAATATTCACGGAAGTGACAATTACGTAAGTGAATGGGAGTGGGCAGGTTAACCGGACGGACGGAATATTTACCAGACACTACTGTAGATGGATAATAAAGCATTATATTATGATTATTTGATAATTTTTACTTTAGCAATGTCATTACACCATGTAAAAATCTATGTTGCCAGTATGATAAGATTCCAAATGATCTAATTTGAAGGAAAAAAAAAGTTTTGCTTTTTTTTTTTATTAAATCACTTGAATTCATCCTCTTTTGAACTGTTCACCTGTATCAGAATCTGAATTTTAGAATCATAGCAGATACATTGTACATGTATATTAATTTAGTGTTTTAGTAACCTCAAATCAGTATCTTCAAGGGTAAATTTAAGATTCTCGTCTGTTAATTCTGTTAAAGTTACAGTAGGTTGATTAGCGTAGGGCATTTTCTTGCTTGTGCTTTTGCAATGAACCCACACTAGAAATCTTAAACCGGAAATAATACCGTACTCTCCCATTGAAATTTTTAGGGGTGGGCAAGTTACAAAAAAACTTTGGAATCGGTTTCTTGTCGAGATCTTAATCAATACTCCTTTATGAATAAAGAAACTGTCCTCCTTAAACAATGAAATACTTTAAGAATGATATTGTCAGGTATTAAACATATTTTGTATGATACAAATATCAAGCATACCCTAAAGCATTTTATTTGACAATCTTGTTTACTTCCGTTTTTTGGGACAGCTGTGGTCCTGAGAAACAAACAGCATAGACATGTCTTCATTTACAGATAGCAACTTCGTAAAGAAATTAAGCGAACTGAATAACACACAGCAGAGTATTCAGACGTTATCATTATGGCTGATTCATCACAGAAAGCATTCAAAAACCATCACCCAAGTATGGTTGAGAGAATTGCAAAAAGGTCAGTACAACAGTCCACAACATCTCCTGCACAGTACAGCACGTGTAACGTGTCTTAAATGTCGATGTTGGGTATCTTTGATGGAGATAAAACTTCCAACATTGAGGTGACATTCTGCAATGTTAGCTAGGAACTGTCATATTCTGTAAACTGGTAAAGGTGTACTTTAATACATCATTACATGTCACAAAAATGGTTTGCCTTATTCAGTTATTCTGTTATTCAGGTTAGGACTGGTCAGCTATCCAAATGAGTTACATATTTATCTGAACTTCGATATACATTTTAATAACCGAATAGGATATACGTTTTAAATGCAAAAAGTTTTGATTTGAGGATGGGTCATTATAAAAAAACATGCAAATTTCGATGAAGTAATATTTGGAAAAATGATGTCATTGTTTAAAACATTTAAATGTGTCCCTCTATTCTATAGTATGGTAGCAACTATTTTCAGAAATATGCAATGGGAAAAATGAAGGGTTCCTTCAATTTTAACAATTTTAGGTCATCAGGTCATCCTTTGATAGAATCGTGTCAATGGTGTTACCAATTTAAAACATGCATTTAGGTACTAAATATTATTGTTAAACATCAAACAACTGTTCCAATTTGTTGTTAAGGTTTAAATTACTACTTATTGACATTATTCCTCTAGCTATACATTCTTTTTAAACATAAATTTCAGAATACATTGTCGTAAAAAAGTTGGCTGTCCTAATTATGGCTGTTGTAAATACTAAAAAATACACTTAAGTTGATTATATGTATAATGTATAAGATGAAATGATAAGAATATGCTTAATCCTTCGTATACAACCTAAAAACACTTTCATTTATGAATAAAAATTAAAAAGTATCGCATTTTTATATAGTAACACCACTGACTCTTCAGTAACTCCAATGACACAAAAGTATCACCATTGACAACACATTTCAAATTTTACTTTTATTAAGTACTGAACACAAAACAGAAAACACTGATCGATGAGCAAAAGAAAAAGAAGAAAAAATAATTCTTAGGCTGAAAAATCTCAAATTATATAACATAATATCAATAACTAAAAATGTCAGTAGTGTTACTAAATAGTGTCATTGGTGTTACCAGCATACACCAGTTTTTTGAAAACTTTGTATATGTAATACATGATATTGTTAAAACATTGTTAAATAAGTATTGTTTGTTATAAATAATATGATGTTTCGCTTGTTAAACACGAAAGAAACACCAAAAAATGCTGATTGTCATAATATATTCAGTGGTGTTACTAAGCTGGTCAATGGTGTTATTTTATTAAAATGGTCTCACCATTGACAGTAACACCATTGATTTTCAGGTGTATTTTAAGATTTAGTTACAAAATAAGGGCTCCATTCCCCTTTTTTATATGGTGTTCCTGGTGCATGTTTCTACAATCAATATATTTCATAATTCAAAGTTCATGAATTTAAAAAAAAAAAAAATTTTATATATAAGGGTACACCATGGACACTATTTTCAATTATGATATAGTTTGTACTTACTTTTAATATTTTTTTACTAAATTTTCAACATAAATGTTTGTTTTCTTTTGCATAACATGCTTACAGGTAACATTGCTAAGGGAGAAACTATTGTAAATGCTGAAATATTGAGAAAGATAACTCTTACCCTACCAATTTGTCTTTTGGTTACACCATTGACTTAAAAAATGAGACTTTTCCTTTTGGTTAAATTTTTTATCATAAAACCAACATACACCTTCCAAATCATTAAAAAAATGTTTGTATGTATCAAATGCAATAAAAAGTGATAATTTTTAATAACAAATGATATGAATAATAGCCCTATTTCAGGTCTGAAGGGATTTATAGTAAAAAATAACAGTTGATTCTGGCTATATCCAAGGGTTTGAGAAAAAACTAAGGATGTTTTTATAACATTTCATACTGTAAACTGTGTATAGTGTATCACAAAACATTCATATCTTTCATATGCAATAGTTATTTTGATACATTTTGATATAGTTTCATGTCTTTTGACTTGAAAAGACCAAATAACATAGTTTTGCATGTTTTTTTGATAATGACCCGGATAACTATGGTAAATGTTGAAAATGGCATTTGTTTAGATCTTTGACTTTAAATGACGTGAAAGAGCATCTTTATTTTGTTCTTTATTTCAAAATTATTCATGTGTACACCCTAAAGTGACAGAATAGTCAACCTGATATCTGACAGTGGTAACCATGGTAACTCAACGGTAGAAGTTAAAAACTGTATTTAAAAAAATGGTTAAGTTGCTTGATTGATCCCTTTGAAAATCTTCATCTCTTGAGGGATCAATTTCTTAATAAATCTGGTATCCAAAAAGATTAATAACTTATTTTTTCAACCAACAGTTCTTGCCTTTTATAAGATCAATTACACTTTGTTATGTTTGTAATATTCATGTTCTCTCTAACATTCAAAACAATTTTTTTGCACTGTTAACTTAATTTATATAATCATCATATGATCATCATGATAACCTGTTCAGGTGATCAATTTGCTCTTTACCAGTTCAAGCAGTGCCAAAAAAATATCTGAATAATTTCAGTGAAAATATTCAGACCAGTTAAAGGTGTGTTTATTTAGATCAACATAACCGTTACAATTTTCGGTACAGACGTCTGGCTGGGTTTTTAAAATCACCCCAATTCATATATTGATTTTTGCGAAAAATCCAAACTCTTACATGTACATAAGTAGGAAAATATATTTCCCAGGTATCAAACAAATAATCTTATATATATTAAGATGTTGACCATGTGGGATCATGCATGTAAATATATTATACAATAAAAGATCAGTACACCTGTACACAGTTTTTAACAGAAGATGAACATTTATATATAATTTTTACCCATTCACATATAAATTTCTACCCATTGTTATGTTACCTCTGTGAAATTGCACCTGTCCCCGTTGAAATATTTGACATTCCTAAAAAGTTACCCATACCAGCGGCACATCTGTGAATACCTTGATATAGGAAGAGACCCCCAGGGTCGTGGATGCTAACAACTTTGGTAATCACTTCATGAAACTGACCCATAGTACAAAATATTTTTTTGCAAAGTGAATTTATTAGGAATATTTATATTTCCAAAACAAGCTATATGATTAATAATATCATGTAGAAAAGTTTTCTATCTTTCATGAATATTCTGAAAACTAACTGGACATGTGCTCTAAAAATTACTGATCGTAACAAAATATTATTGGCCACAGGTGACAGGCCTTAGGACCATTGTTGATTTTGCTTACTGCATGTACATGTATGCATTGATCTTGTATGTGTATACGTACACACCTATTCAATGATGCTTTGCTTAATTGTTTTCAGTTCGTCCTTCCATGAGACTGATATATATGTACCTTGCTAATGATGTTATACAAAACAGTAAGAAGAAAGGACCTGAGTTCACCAGAGACTTTGCTACTGTAATGACAGATGCCTTTGCTTCGGCTACAAAGTAATTTACATATAAGAAACAACTAAATATAAACCTGTGCTATTACATTATACAAGAAGTTGTTTTACTAGAAGGACTTTCATAGCCTTGTATTATAGTCTAAAAATAAGTTTTAAACAGGAGTTTTGTACATACTCATACAAAAGGTCTGATCAATTTCTGTTTCTTACTGTAGATTTTTATGCCCCTGCCGCGGTGGAGGGGCATTAAGTGTTACCCTTGTCTGTCTGTACGTCCTTACGTACATCCCAAAATTAGCTTCCTTTCCCTTTCTTTAGTTTGCCCCAAACAAATGTTATGAAACTTATACACCATGCTTATTACCACAAAACACAGATCAAGTTTGAATTTGGGTGGTGTCACTTATACTATTCTAGAGTTATGCCCCTTTATAAATGGAAAAATTGCTGAATTTTTTGTTTCCGTTCTTTAACTTTAGTTTGACTCAACCAAATGTTATGTAACTTACACACAATGCTTATTACCATAAAACACAGATCAAATTTGAATTCGGGTGGCATCACTTTTACAGTTCTCTAGTTGTGTCCTTTTATAACATTTTTAAAAATGCAAGCGAGGGTCCCATGAACACATTCTGCATTTATTTTTCTAGGTAGAGTGTGTGTGCCTGTAACCACACAAGCACTCTACAAGAGTTAGATTTTTTAGAGTAAAAAATTATTCCTTAGCCTTTTATATGTTCTTTTAGAAAAAAAATATATAGTGCAAAATACCTGAACTGAAACAACACACAGCTACACATGTAAGGGACAGAAAAATTATGCAAATTGAAGGGAAGATGTAATTCAAATAAATATTGACCTATTTTGGTCTGGGATGGAAACAACAATGGCCTTAAGCACTAGTTTGACAAGCAACTTTGGATTTTTCTTATAGCAAACTTGAGTTTAAGCAAAGTAATTCCCCCAAAAAACATGTCAATAAATTAAATAATGATAAGAAAAATTCTGCTACATGTACATATATGCATATACAGTATATTTTCACCCTTAAGGTCAAAATTGACAAGAGTAATTTATATTGTACATCCTCATTGAAAACATGTCAGATGTTTGATTTTAATAAGATTCCACAAAATAAATGTTTTAAGGGTATTAATATTGATTTTTATAGTAATTATGATGATAATTATTTTTAAAGCAAGTAATATCAAATGATCTATATTGCAGATCACCTTATTTGTATACATAGTACATATACAGTATACAATTATCTTGTGCCCAGGATAAAAAAAAAATCTAAAAACAACTCTATCTTTGAACTTCTTTTACCATGTTTACATGTTTTAATATCTCATATATTTTTATACGACCGCAAAAATTAAAAATTTTTTGGTCGTATATTGGTATGACGTTGGCGTCGTCGTCGTCGTCGTCATCCGGCGTCGTCCGAAGACACATTGGTTTTCGCACTCTAACTTTAGTTTAAGTGAATGGATCTCCATGAAATTTTACCATAAGGTTCAATACCACGAAAGGAAGGTTGGGATTGATTTTGGGGGTTATGGTACCAACAGTTAAGGAATTAGGGGCCAAAAAGGGGCCAAAAATAAGCATTTTTTAACTTCCAGACAATAACTTGTGTGTAAGTGTATGGATCTCTCTGACATTGTACCACAAGGTTCCATATCACATAGGGAAGGCTGTAATTGATTTTGGGGGTAATTGCCTCAAAATTTTAGGAATTAGGGGCCAAAAAAGGGGCAAAAAACAAGCATTTTTCTAGTTTCATGACAATTACTTGTGTGTAAGTGTTTGGATATTTCTTAAATTGTACTACAAGGTTCCATATCACAAAGGGAAAGCTGGAATTGAGTTTGGGGGTAATTGCCCGAAACGTTTAGGAATTGGGGGCCAAAAAGGGGCCAAAAATAAGCATTTTTCTAGTTTCCAGACAATAACTTGTGTTCAAGTGTATGGATCTCTCTGAAATTGTACTGCAAGGTACCATACCACAAAGGGAAGGCTGGGATTGAGTTTGGGGGTGATGAATCATAAGGGGGTTCAAAAAATTTGGGGGGGGGGGATTTTTTTTTTTCTTTTAAAATTTTCCATTTTAAGTTGGTTATTTCTGATTTATATTTAAAAGCAAATAATAATGATATGGTAGGAGATACACACCAAACAGGATGTGTAAATTATTATACAATAAGTATTGTGCAATAGCAAGAAATTTTCAATTGCACAGTATTGCACAATAGCAAGAAATCTTCAATTGCACAGTATTGCGCAATAGCAAGAAATCTTCAATTGCACAGTATTGCGCAATAGCAAGAAATATCCAATAGCACAATATTGCGCAATAGCAAGAAATTGTCAATTGTACAGTATTGCGCAATAGCAAGAAATATTCAATTGCACAGTATTGTGCAAAAGAATATACTTCGTATAAATTGCTTATTTCTTGATCAATTTCAATGGGGTTTTATTCTTGAATTCTTGGGGTTCTTTAATATGCTGAATCTAACCATGTATTAAGTTTTTGGATTTTGGGGCCCGTTTTTAAATTGGTCCACATTGAGGTCCAAAGGGTCCAAAATTTAACTTTGTTTGATTTCATCAAAAATTGAATTATTGGGGTTCTTTGATATGCCGAATCTAACCGTGTATTTAGATTCTTAATTTTTGGTTCCGTTTTCAAATTGGTCTCTATAAAGGTCCAAAGGGTCCAAAATTAAACTTAGTTTAATTTCAACAAAAATTGAATATATGGGGTTCTTTGATATGCTGAATCTAACCATGCATTTAGATTTTTGATTATGGGCCCAGTTTTCAAGTTGGTCCAAATCGGGGTCCAAAATTAAACTTTGTTTGATTTCAACAAAAATTGAATATATGGGGTTCTTTGATATGCTGAATCTAACCATGTATTTAGATTTTTGATTATGGGCCCAGTTTTCAAGTTGGTCCAAATCGGGGTCCAAAATTAAACTTTGTTTGATTTCAACAAAAATTGAATATATGGGGTTCTTTCATATGCTGAATCTAACCGTGTATTAAGTTTTTGGATTTTGGGCCCCATTTTTAAATTTGTCCACATTGAGGTCCAAAGGGTCCATAATTTAACTTTGTTTGATTTCATCAAAAATCGAATTATTAGGGTTCTTTGATATGCCGAATCTAACCGTGTATTTAGATTCTTAATTTTTGGTTCCGTTTTCAAATTGGTCTACATAAAGGTCCAAAGGGTCCAAAATTAAACTTAGTTTGATTTTAACAAAAATTGAATTTTTAGGGTTCTTTGATATGCTGAATCTAAACATGTGTTTAGATTTTTGATTATGGGCCCAGTTTTCAAGTTGGTCCAAATCGGGGTCCAAAATTAAACTTTGTTTGATTTCAACAAAAATTGAATATATGGGGTTCTTTGATATGCTGAATCTAACCATGTATTTAGATTTTTGATTTTTGGGCCCCGTTATCAACTTTGTCCACATTGAGATCAAAAGGGTCCAAAATTAAACTTTGTTTGATTTCATCAAAAATTAAATTCTTGGGGTTCTTTGATATGCTGAATCTAACCATGTATTTAGATTTTGGATATTGGACCATAATAGGTGAAGGTCCAATTTAAAATTTTTAAGTTCTTAGACCACATTCATTCTGTGTCAGAAACCTATGCTGTGTCAAATATTTAATCAATCCAAATTCAGAGCTGTATCAAGCTTGAATGTTGTGTCCATACTTGCCCCAACTGTTCAGGGTTCGACCTCTGCGGTCGTATCAAGCTGCGCCCTGCGGAGCATTTTATTATGTATTGATTCTTTAAATGTATTTATGACTATGATCACATTTATTATATTCATCAAAGTTGTACATTTATCTATACAAGTCTGTTGTGTTTTAAAGTACATGTGTTTATGGTATTTATAGATAGGTCTGTTTTTGCATTGACTTTTGCAAGTGGCTACTCCCATGTGAGAGTTTTATATTATATTGATAAATGTTTTATGTTCGGTTGAGTTTACAAATTTGAACATAACTTATTATACTAATATCTAGTCCATATAAGTGAGTGATTTGGTATTTTCACTTTACATACCAAAATTATATAGAATTACATAGGAATACCATTATAAAGAAATTAATATTACTTAGGAATATCATTTAGTCCATTAACAGAAAATTGATATTACACATGAATAACATTATCAGAAAATTGATATTACACATGAATAATTTAATTTTGGATGTAACACGTCTTCTGATTGGCTGAAAGCTGAAATAAAAAATGTGGTGCAAACTTTTAGATAACCAGCTACGCGGGTTATTTAGTGTGCACCATATTTTTTATGTTATTTCTTCATAGACAGAAAAAATATTACTGTCATTCCTTAAATAACATTAACAGACAATTGATATAACACAGAAATAAAATTGAGAATGGAAATGGGGAATGCGTCTAAGAGACAACAACCCTACCAAAGAGCAGAAAACAGCCCAAGTCCACTAATGGGTCTTCAACACAGCGAGAAAATCCAGCACCCGGAGGCGGGCTTCAGCTGGCCCCTAATCAATAATGTATACTTGTTCAGCGAAAATGGACGTCACACTAAACTACGAAACATATAAATGAACCAAAATTTAAAAAAAAACATACAGGCCAGAGGTTCCTGCTTTGGGACAGGCGCAAAAATGCGGCGGGGTTAAACATGTTTTGTGAGATCTCAACCTTCCCCCTATACCTCTAGCCAATGTGGACTAAACAAACACACAGCAATATGCACAGTAAACATTCAGTTTAAAAGAAGTCTGAGTCCGATGTTAGAATAGGTAACAGAAGAAACTAAGCAAAATGACAACAATAACATAAATTAACAAAGGACTACTATATATATATATAGCTAGCAGTTACTGACATGCCAGCTCCAGACCTTAATTAAACTGATTGAAAGATTAGAAATACCATTAACACAAAATTGATATTACACATGAATAACATTATCAGAAAAATTGATATTAATATTATTACACATGAAAAACATTATCACAAAGTTTATATTACACATGAATAACATTAACAGAAAATAGATATAGCACAGGAATACCATTAAACAAGGAATTATTTGAATCTGGAATAATTTTGAATTCTGGAAAATTGATTAGAAATGTATGATAAAAACTAACCCAACTAAATAGGGTTAGCCATGCGTGCATGGCTAAAGTTAATTTTACTTTCACTATCATTTCAGTATGAACTAACTAACCCACCTTAGCCATGCGCGCATGGCTAACCCTATTTAGTTGGGTTAGTTTTCATCATATATTTCTCATCAATTTTCCAGAATTCAAAATTATTCCAGATTCAAATAATTCCTTGTTATTAACAGAAAATTTGATACATGTATTACACATGAATAACTAACATAAAATTGATATTAAACATGAATACCATTAACAGAAAATTGATATAACACATGAATGACATTGACAGGAAATTGATATTACACCTGAATAACATTAACAGAAAATTGATATAGCACAGGAATACCATTCATAGAAAATTGGGTTATACATGAATACCAGTTGCACAGAAAATAGATATTAAAAAAAAAAATAATCAGAATAATGTATATGAAATAATATGTGTCTTCTAACATATTTAAAGTACCTTCTAGTTGTATTTTAGAAGATGTTTTTACAGTTCAATACTTGAGAGTACACTTTGATTATATACATGTAATTTAAGTGTGCATGTGTAGAAAGAACACACATTTTATTATTTGAAATAATTATGTTGTAAATATTTATGGATTAGTTCTGAAAAAAATTAGGGGTTTGAGGAAATGATTTGTTTTTAAATTGTAGAGATGCTGAAGAAAAGACCAAGAAATCAGTGGATAGAATATTGAATATATGGCAGGAACGAGGTGTCTATAGTAAAAATACAATTGATAAAATCAAAAGTGGCACAGGTGAGTGAAAACAAATGGGTCCTACTTATATGCAACAAACACAGGTATAGAATTATCTTACAGAAAGAAGAGATATAATTTCAGTCAAAATGTCAGTTAGTGAATTTAGGCATATATGTCTTTGAATATGTGGAAGTTTATTATGACTTGAGTCTCACAAATTGCAGTAAATATTTTCATTAAGCATCATTTGCACATTGTACATTCAGATACCAAGTGACCTATAGCCATAAAACTTGGTGTATGCATGAATTTATTGGATCTTAACAGTCTCCTACGGAAGTTACATGCATGTCCTCCTGACCTAGTCACTACATACATGACATATGCTTCTATCGAAGTTTATAAATTTTGTACTGTTAACTTCCCAGGCAGGTAATGAGATGTGAAGATTAATAAAAGGGTTTTGATAAGGCAGTACAAATCCCATCAGATACATTCCTTTTTTCATACAGTTCAGGGTCATTACAAATTTGTCTGGACTTGTCATTTTAAAAACTGGTCAGTCCAAAGATGCATCAAGATTGTAAAGTGTTGTAACAACTGAGCACATAGAGCATCGTTCTATATAAAAAGTTTTAAAATAAAGTAAAGTTGATGTCATTTCTATGTTGTTTTTTGTCATGGAGACTGAAATAATAAATTGTATAGCAAAAAAATATCATCTTCTCTTTGTTTGAATTGTCTTGGCAAAAAATGACGAGTCCCTGAACTGGCTTTCAAAAGTCCTTAGTGAGAACCCTGACAGTTGATTTCTTTTGATATGAACAAATTTTGTGGTTCTAATACTGTATGGTTGCAATTGTGTTGTTGGCTTTTGGCATCCACGTTGTTGCTGTTCCTCTATATACACAATGTTTTTTTTTAATTTCTATATGAAATTTTAATACTATTATTTGGCACAAAAGGAAGGAAGGTTTTATTTTAGTGGTTTTGATTGACCTTTTTAATGACTTTGTTGGCATCTAGATGTCTTTGGTTTGCTGTCTTATTGAAATATTCCTCACATCCCCAAACAATGTTTTTGGTAGTCTTGATGGACTGCATTAATTTTTCATAGAGAGAGTTTTTTTCTTTTTATTGTACCTATTTAATTTATATAAACAAATTGCATTCATAAAAGAAGTTATTATCCTACATTATTGAGTTTAATTTTGCATTTTTATACCTGCAATTGTTCAAGCAATCATGCGTATGCTGATAATTCAATTTTATGGTTGTTTTAAAAAAAAAATTTAATTTTCATAATAGACATATATCTTAAATGTTCTTTTTTTAATCCTATAAATTTAGAAATACTTAAATTTTGAAGCGAGTTAAACTTTACTTCCTTGCGTGCAGTATGAAATTAACTCAAAGCTGCACCGTCATATAATTTTATTTTGTCAAGAGGCATATAAAATGATATTAGATGTCGAAACCTGAAGTTTTTTCTGACAGAACCAGTGTATATTTAAGAAATAGTCACTTGAATCATGCTGCATCTCATTAGCAATAAATTTCTACTCCTCATAGTTTAAAAATTAGTTCATGATAAGATTTTGATTATTCTCACCAGTCGAAGAAAATAGGCTAAATTTGTTTGGTTTGATATGCAAATCTTATTATCAGGTATTGGTACTGCAGAAGCAATATAGGTAATATAGATCAAAATTTGCTTTATATACTTGATGGCGAAATCCATTGTATTGCAATGGCAATTAGAACAGCAAAAAAAATCTGATGTTCATGATAGCAGAAACAATTGTTTTAGACGGCAATCAGGAACACAGATCCTATGGTGGCTGCTGAAGTGATAGGATGTTAAATGAAATATATTAAAAGAATCATTATATTAGCATTCATGCACATGAGTTTAATTCCTAGATAGCCAGGTTCAACTAGTACTGTCCTCACAATAGTAGATGCAGTTCATATGAAACTTTTATATAACATTGTTTTAAAAATGTTTATCATTTTATCTCATCTCATATTTTTACAGACGTTAATCCAACAGTAATCAATCAATCATATTTTTACACATATTTTATTTTGACTATAAAAGGGAGATAATTTAAGTACTTTTGTAATTTCATGTTACATTGCAAAATGTTTGCACTAATTTATTCAGCTGAAACTTCAAAGCTACTTTTATGGGTTGTTTTTTTTCAGAATAAAAAACAAATTTTGGAATGATAAATTTAGTTCTGTTTTTTATTTGAAAGCATCATTTATAAACTTTGATTAAAATGCTGTAAGTTCTTATATTTTCATTTTTGTAATTGTTAAATAAGAAACCTTCTCGGGACATATAACAGGGCCATTACGAAAACTCATATTACTGATATCATTTATTGACCAAGTAAACAGAGGAAATATTTGTTTAACCAACTAAGTAAATTATTGTTAAAATGCCAAGTTTTTACTTAAATCGAAACAGTGCCTTTTACAACTAACAGGGCATTATAAAAGGACTATTAGGGACAAAAACCAGTGGTACATCTAGGAGACAATTTTTAGTTTTTCAGTTGTTTTCTAAAAAAATATTGTTTGTAGAAAAACGTTATGGTCATGTATACAAAGAAAAATATATAATACTCTCATGGGTGTATAAGCTTAATTACATATTTAATTTTCAGGAAACCAAATTATTCACAAAAGTGGTGAGTACCCTATCGATTTCACTCTTTTCTTGTCTGGAACTCTGTATGTACCATCTTCCATATTGTATGTGTTTGAAGCAGCAACATTATTGTTTCAGTGTTTTGAATATAAAGAGCATTCTATGGTAAACAAAATACCTTGCAATTGTTACAGTAGCCATTTAAGAAAATGATAGCCTTTTGCAATTTCAAAATTGAACTAAGTTAAAGTCGCCTTAATCAAGATGTGTCATTTCAAAAATTATATTTCAAGAGCTGACAATTTTTTTTTTAATCTTTCTATAATTAAATTGATCATTAGCAACATGAGCAAGAGAATTAATATACTGTTGAGTGCTCTTTACGGTAAGTTATAAGTAGAAATGGTATTTGGATGCCTTGGCACATAAGATTTCTGGTGATTGAACTGTATTTCTCAAATTTGCAATCTAATAAAACATAAAAAAAATCTCTAAATTCCTTTAAAATATTGGTTTTGAAAATATTATTAAAGATAAGATGTAATAAAAAATTAATAATTATTTAATTTTATAAAAGCATTGCATGTTCTTTTATTTTTTATTGCCACTGCTGGATAGAAAGTAAAGAATAAAAGAAAATAAATTGTTGTAAGATTTCAAGCCTGAAAAAAATCCTCATTTGGCTACTCAAATTGAGAAATACAGTTACTGTGTGGTGTTTGCACTTACATGCTTGCTTGCAATTGATGTATGTTGTGGTGTGTCTTTCTATTGTAGCCCTTCAAGACATTACAGAGAGAAGGAAGAAAAAGATTGAAGAATATATACCTACCTATAAAAAAGGTGAAATTTGTGTAGTGTGTTGAGAGGGTCAAGGGGGAGGGAACCTGATATAACTTATAAGTCATTTTCATCTTTAATAACATCAAAATCATCCATTTTAAATGTTATATGTTGTATGGTCAGTTTTATATTTTCAGAAGATTTCTAGAACAAATATTTTATTTTTACAGCTATATCAGATATAGCAGCTGAAATAAACTTGAAGAGAGGAAGAGATAAGAAAAAAGTAGAGGAATATGTACCTGTAAATAAGGTTAAAGGTTAGTACCGAAAAAAGTAGAGGAATATGTAACTGTCAATAAGGTTAAAGGTTAGTACCGAAAAAAGTAGGGGCATATGTACCTGTAAATAAGGTCAAAGGTTAGTACTATCAGAGGTCACTTAGTTGGAGATTTTGTTGGATTCATGCTTTGTAATTCATCTCAAAAACTCAAAACTCCCCAGATCATGGACATTTATTGTTAGATTGCTAATAAACAAACTTAGTTTTATTAGTTTGCATATGTAGAAAAATGTAGAGACACTTATAACCACAACACTCAAGGGATCACTGCTTTAAATAGACACATTTCTGTGTCTAGGGCACTGACATCAAGATAAAGCAATAAAGAAAATATTCCTCAAGTAACAAAATCGGTACAAATCTGGTCAATACGATGCACTTCAAAAAATTAACCAGGGGAAGTAACTTACTTAACATCATTCAATATGAAATGATTCTAACATTCTATGGAAAATTCACAGGGTTTTTGTGATATCATAAACTTTTTATTGTGTACAATCATACCCTTTTCACTGACTGTGCTTTCATCAAAGATTAGTTGGAGGCTTATTTTCATGGATATTGTTTGTATGGGGTGAGCCATGAATTCAAGGGTTCAACAGAATGATAATTTCCAATAATATCCAGAAAATTGGTGCCCACCAAAATAAATGAATCCGCAGTATTTATGCAATTAGGTAATCTAAGAACATGCTGGGCTGTCGTTAATTTTATTGCAAGGGTAGATCTGTATGATAATAATAAAGCTGTACTTTAGATTTTTTTTTAGAAAACAGACATAATTCTGAAATTGAAAGCACATGTTAGCATCTGTAAACCAACAGTCCACTTTTGGAAGTGAATTGTGACAAATTTGCATGTGGTCCTAATATACTCAAGGTAAAAAATTGAGCAAAATTAAATAACTTCCAACTTCCTACCCCATTTTCTTAAAGCAGGAAGCCATAAACACAATTTTGTTAGTTTGGCCTAATGTAAGTTAGTTATCTTGTATACTGCTGTATTTTGAGAATGTCATAAGGAATTTAGCCTTTACAAGGGAACTCCAATTTTGTTTTATTAGATCATCAGCCAGTTGATGCAGCACCTCCTAATAAGAAAAAGAAGAAAGAAGAAATGTTGTCACTGAGGGAAGAAATAGAGCTTATGTCAAAAGATGATACAAGTGGCCCACCAGATGTAAGATCTTACTGTACATGTTTGGTACCTCCCTCTCATATGCCTTCTCTTGTAATATTTGCATGAATATACAATTCTTTTAAAATGTTTTGGTGTTCTCTCTTAATAATTGAATAAAGAAATGTAAAAACCACCATCTCAACTTCTCAGGTCTACTTGTTTGATTTTTATGAAATTAATATCAAAGATTTAAATTAGTAATGTCTTATACGAGTTGGAAAATCAGTGCACATTTACATATGTTTACAGTTACTATGTTTCTTTGTCATGTTATTTATATGGAAAATTGAATTGTAAGTCCTTTCAGGTTTACATTTCATGTCAGGTTTTTAAAAAAAACAACAAATATTTTGAGTTTTTGTCCTTGACATATTCAATATGTGTATAGGAGGGGGACATTGAAACACTTTTGTTTAACTTTTTGGCTTTGATCTATTTTTTATTCTATATCCAGTTTGTTATGCTCCACCTTCTAGAATAAGAATGCATTATGATTTGCAGTCAGTAATTTTGACTGATTTGAACTTGATGCTTCTAAAGTTTCTGTAAAAAGATATTATATTGAATCCAATTTCATATTCATATTCATATTTGAGACCTTAATGTAAATATGGAAATACTCATGTGACACTCAGGTATTAAAATCTGAAGTAAAATGGCCTTAGCTTTAAATTCAATGACTAACATTTATTGAATAAGTCTTGATAAAATTGGAAATGCAATGACCAGAAAAATCATGTGTTGTTTCAAATGTATTATTTGTAAATCTATAACTGTAATACGTTTTTAAACATATCTTTAAGAAAAAGATAATTGTTGTAACCCAAGAAAGCCAATTGTGAAAGAGTATGAAAATAAAGCATAGAATACATATATTTGTAATTGTAAAATAATAGCATTGAGGGTCTGAAAAATAACACAAAGAAACAAAAAAAAAAACCCAACTCTGAATCAGTGACTGTTGTACTTCTCGTGTGATAATCGCTGTGAATACCGGTAGATTTGAAAGGATTAATTGACAAATCAAAGTGCACGTTTATGTTGTATGTATTTGCTATGCCAAATTTTTTAAAAAGTTTTCATTGTTTTGTATGTACAGGCAGAAGAATTAGTAAAACGTTTATCAGACCTTGAACATTCAGCATCTAGTGATGCTGCTGTCAGAGAGAAGATTGCTGCTCTACCACCAGAAGTGTCTGATGTTAACCACCTTGCCAAAATTCATGGTAAAAATTCATTTATATATGTGAAGACTTTTTTATACGACATCAAAATTGTTGCGGCTGTATAATGGTATGACATTGGTGTCATCGTTGTCATCTTCATCTGAAGACATTTGGTTACAATACAATAACTTGAGTACCAGTATAAGTAGGGGCCTAAAACAAGAAATTTTTCGTTGGGTTCCAATTTTCATGGTTTTCTTTCCAAGAATTTAAGTGTCCAACGAAATGTAACTACTGTTGTCAAAATCAAGACATGGAAAGATCCCGATGTAGGTTCAACTGCATGGATACAGGCAAATATATGAACGACACTTATTATGTGTCAGCTGACATCATTCCTGTATTGGAATTTACACCAATGAATTATTTGATTTGATTTATATTCCAGAGAATACATATATATCAGCAAATGTACATTGAGCTATATACACAACTTCAGACAGGTTTTACCCATTTAATCTTTAAAAAAAAAAAACAATGACTTTCAACCTTTTAATTCTCATGAAAAATTATTTTTTATCAATGATAGCAAGACTACCGGTGATGATATGTGATGATAAAGTGTTCATTTTGTCTCCTCATAATTCTCATAAAATAAATAAATAATACTTTTATATTGGGCTTGCTTTTTTTATTCCATAAGAATTAATTCTACAATCAAATACATTTGTAGCATTTGTTATATGTAACGGTTATCTTTAAGTGACATGATTGTTGTCCAATTAACACCTTTGATGATTGTTAATCTGTTGATCATTCAATCTCAGTTTATTAGTGTCATCACTTCTTATTACACATGTGCAACAATTAAAATGTTTACTTTGCAATTTCCTTCAATCGAGACAATTTGTAAGCATAGAAAAATTAGCTTATTTCCGAAAGGAATTATTTTCTAAAAAAAATGATGAATGTTGTCAGTAATGACAGACGAACACGGACGTGAAAATAAACACCTTATTTTGCAATGTCCATCAGATTATTATAAAACAGCTTGCATATTATTATTTTCAAGAATCTTTGTATTTTCAGAAAACTAAAATCCATGAATTTATGAACCCACGAATATATAACTTTAGCTAAAACCACGAAATTGATACCCACGAATAAAAGTACTTTCACAGTATTTAGATTTTTGATTTTAGGCATGGTTTTCAAATTTGTCCACATTAAGGTCTAAAGGGTCCAAAATTAAACTTTGTTTGATTTTAACAAAAATTGAAACCTTGGGGTTCTTTGATATGCTGAATGTAACCATGTATTTAGATTTTGGATATTGGACAATAATAGTTAAATGTCCAATTTAAAAATTTTAAGTTCTTAGACCACATTCATTCTGTGTCAGAAACCTATATTGAAAAGTCATCAAGCTTGAAAGTTTTGTCCATACTTGCCCCAACTGTTCAGGGTTTGACCTCTGCAGTTGTAGCAAGCTGTGCCCTGTGGAGTATTTCATTTGAATCAGAGATTTTAAAAAATGTATATAGTTTCTGTGTTCATATAATACAGAAATGTCTGATTTCTGTGTTGTTATGTGATTAAATGCTACTGTTTATGTTTCTTTCTCTAATGTTCTATGAAAATAAGAAGATGTGGTATGATTGACTATGAATTATTACTAAAAAAATGAAATAGTCAATAAAATAGATAAATGTAAAAGTTAAGAGTCAAGTTGTTTCCCTTATACTTCTGTCAAACGTGCAACTGAGTTGGCAGCTGTCCATCCGACATGTGCTGACTACTATAATCTTGTATAGTTTTAAAGAGATTGTTTACTAGCATCTTTGCGTCTAAATGAAGGATTATTCAACCGATATTAGATCTTATTTTACCCTGACAATTTATTAGTTACTCTGGCATTAACTACTTTTAGATCTACAAATTTGTACTAGCAAATTTTTTGTTCTCACCTCAGTGGGATTTGAACCCTTGCTTCTGTCACATCGTGGCAACACCAGCTGCACGGTGTTCAGTGCCCTAGACCACTCTACCAACAAGGTTATAAAAATACATCTTTTATTAGACAAGTAATGCCTTTTCTTGTCGTCTTTATCCAGAATTGTAACACAGTACATGATGTATATTGGCAAGTAGAAGGTGTACCTTTCAGATCAGCTATGTTTTGTCAGCCGTAAAGGATGTTATTGTTACTTACCATGCCTCCACATCAAATTATAATATTATTATATACGTCGCATTATGTGACAACTTTATGAGAGACATTCTCCATCGGATAACCAGTGGTTATACAGGGCTAATACCATAATATATATATTATTCGTCTCAAATTTAGTCCAACAATGTAAGATGTGAAAATTTGCACTGGCAAACGTTTTTTGTTCTCCCTTCAGCAGGATTTGATATACACATGCAGTTGTTTGTTCTAATTGTGTCCCCAATTTGATTTAGGATGGAGTGAGTGATTGTGTTTGATGATTTCTGTCATAAATGTCTCTTGTGGCATGATATTTCACATATTTAGTGATACTTGAGTGTTTTGATCTTCATATTTCCTTATTAAAGATTGGGCTAATAATTTGTTATAAGTTTTATGATCTGACTGGTTGTGCTAGTCATTGAAAAAAGAAAATATTTTACTTATTATTTTCAAGGCTTAACAGTATTATTTGATTACTATATTAGTATTATTTGAATACTATAATAGTATTATTTGAATACTAATTTAATATTGTGTTGTAATACAGTATTACAATTTGACTTTAATGGGTTGATTAGTATCAACTCAATAATTCTAAAAACTCAAGTATGATTGATACTGATGATACCTGTGGAAGGTCCCACCCTGCCCATCAGTATCAATCAAATTTTATTCAAGGAATTGTTATGAACAATCTTTTCTATATTTCTATGGTTTGAAATCATTAGAAGTATTGAAGATATTATCTCTCATTTACAAAGAATTATTTCTGTATGTATACAGAATTTTATTTTTATTAAAATGCAATCCATTTTAATATTTTGTAATCAATTTTTTAAAGTTATAAATATTTTGATAAATAATCATAGTTTTCAGCACTAGGATTTTAAAAAATGGCAAAAATAAGGGGAATAACTCACTCTGAATTTAATATGAAAAACATTTTTTGCTGTTTAAAATACTCATCATACCTTTGGATGAAAGACAACATATTCAACAGTGCTATGTATTAAACTTAGGCTGTGACTGTCAATAAAAGCCTCTTTAGGGTCCAAATTAATTGTGGCAGATGTATCAAACTCATTTCCTGCTAATCAACCAATTAATCAGCAAATCAATGTTCTAAAAGGGTATGCTGAGAGATTACAGGAGACTGTTACAAGTAGGATAGTGTGTCCACACTCAATCTAATTGTTCACTTTTCTGTTGTTTACACGCTGTGGTCATTTCATGCTTTGGTTTGTAGATTGTTTATATTGTTGCTCTTCCTGGAATAAAATTACTGTATATAAATGTGCTCTTCCTTGAATAAAATTTCTGTATATAAATGTCATGACTAACAAAGTTTGTTGTTTTGTGTTTCAGACAAAGAATCTGGTGTGAAATTGTCAAGAAAAGTAGAAGATGCTTGTATATTGTTGTCTGAATATAACTTTCGATTGAATGCAGAGTTAGAAGAAAGAAAAATGGTCGGGAAAATGTTAAAAGATTTCATAGCTTGCCAAAAAGAACAATTAATGTCTGCAGAGAAAAAAATAGAGGTAAATGTCATGGACTTGTTATGAATGTTTTTAAAATGTTATAAAATTTTACTTATAGAAACACTAAATTTTTGTGGCTTTGTAAAAATATTTTTATTTCCCTTCCACAGTTACTTCAGCTTAACTTTGACTAATATAACAAATGTATAGAGAAATATAAACTGTTTGTTTTCTTTATTTTTGCAAGACAGATAGATTCCATTGTCGGTATAGGCGTCCTAAACATTAAGGTCTAGTCTGTAGTTAAAAATTTTTGTAGACATCAATAGTTTTGTTACTCATTCACCATTGTTCACAGAATTTTGAAAAAATTAGACAAAAGCTTCATTATATTCAAGAGACAGCATCTGGAGCAAAATTTTGAAATAAAACCATTTTTTTTACTTGTGTACTATTAACTCATTGATTAATCTTAAGCTTGAATGAACAGGTGGGAAATACTGAACTGAAGATTTAAAAAAAAAGTCCCTTGGTCATTTACTTCTGCATGACCTACAGATATTCTTTCGACCTATTTTTGTCTTTTTTCATAATCTGAGATGAATTTAAGTTTAGAAAAACAACCAAATGTAGACTATTAAGAAATAAGGAAATCAGGTACCTTTTAAACTCAAACATGATACATATAGCTTATAAAGAGTTATCTCCCTTAGCTGTTATACTCTTTTTAATAGGATCACTATTTGATCAGTTTACAGGAAATGAAATGGAATAATATGGATTCCCATATTTTCGTGGATACCAATTTTCATGGATTAAGGAAAAATTGTATTTTCATGCAGACTTAATTTCATGGTTTTGACAAAGTTTGCACATTAGCTTATAAAAAATTTGTACTTCATTGAACATTCAAATTTGCAGTTCACCTTTAATAACAAAATCCATGAACATTGGTTTCTCACAAATAATAATGAATCCACAGTAGTAAAAATCCAATAAACACATCAATATAAAAAATATCCTCCAACCTCTGTCGCGATAGGAATTTATTTATATCATTACAACTACATACATCAGACTAGATCACATAATCATTATATTTTATATGTTTTGCAATATACAGCTAAAACTTCCTAAACCAAACCTCATTATAGGATAGAAGATTTTTCTTGGATTAGACCAGTGTTAGGTTTACACAGGTTTAATTACTAGATAATATTCACTTGGTTCTAAAACAAGATACTGGTTGAGACAAGTTTCTAGTTTATACTAGGTTTAGTTTTGACTAGTTTCATTGCATAATTTTTGTATGTTTTAGGAGTACAAGAAACGACTTGATAAAGTTACTGAAGTGCGAGTAGAATTGGAATCTCATATAAAAAATTTACCAGATTTTGATCTTTTACCTCGTTTAACTGGTGGTCTTGCACCATTGCCTTCAGCTGGTGATCTCTTTAACATGCAAGATGGAAGACGTTGACACAGTATTGGGTATGTTTATTTAGAATGTTTTCATTTAGGTAGACTATTGGAACTTTGTATGAAATTGACCATTCAAGTTGAAACATCAGTGTATGATGCATGAATTGAATAGCACTTGGAAGAAATTCATAATGAATTATGACAAATATTGCTGAAGGTGAAAAATGTGTATCCTATTTAGGCAGCAGCAGTATCATTGTTAGCTAGTTATACAAAGCTCACATTTCAGAAAATACAGTAGAAAGCACACTGAATGTGTACCCAATTTTCAGGGTTGACATTATCTCCAATATTTGCATTCAGTTTTCTCAAATTATAAGGTAAAATATATTTGGTCTAATTTAGGTTTGCATGGTATGTGTCACCTGAGATTGACATCATTTTCATTAATGTCCAACTGTTTTCACCTTACATTTTTTTATAGGTAAATTTTTTTTGCATTGATGGATATGCTATTTGACAGGTTCTCGTCAGATCATCACCTTATTTTGACAATTTTGATTCATATGAATATTCCATTGGTGATACTGTTAGTTTCACAGCTGTTTTGTCAATAGAAACATTGTTAGGTAATCTATTTTGGAAAGTGTACATGTCATCTAAAAAGGTCATCTAACTTTTACTTTAACTTCACAATTCAGGGATTCACATTAAGTTTTTTTATTAAGGTGTGTGTCTAAATAACTGTTTGAATTGAATAACAGGTGATTTAGGGTATATGTCAATGTAACAGCACATCAACAACAGAACTCCACAAAAGACAATCACCATATGAACTCTAGATCGATATCTAAACCATGTGTCATGTTCTAAATGTCTCAAGGTACAGACAAGTTGGGAACTATTAAACAGAAAAATTCCAACATCATATTTAGTTCAAACTTATACCTGTTGTATATTATTGCAATATCCCCTTCCTATTTAAAGTTTTGATTTTTTTTCAAGTGTATGCTTACTGATGCTGCTGTAAGATTACAAAAGTGTATTATACTTTTACATATGTGCTGATATGTATGGGAACAAAATATATTTTGAATACAAAAAAGAAAACAAAATAGACAATGTGTTAGAAATTAAACAGATAATAAAAACAAAATAGACAATGTGTTAGAAATTAAACAGATAATACCAAATAATACATTTGTCCTAAATATGTATTTTATTTGCCACTGAACAGTTTACAGCCATTTATCATCAAGATAACCATAAACATGTAATACTATTTGTGAATACTTTTCTTTTTGTAGGTTTGGATAAAAATGGCTCAGTATATAATGAAGGCATTCCTGGTAGTACAGATCAAGTGCTTTACACTAGTCAGTAAATGTGCAGATATTGTTTTATTCCATCATCCTCCTTCATCCATCACCATGATGTGTGCTCCTATTTATATGTTTGAAATGAATGGCCATCTTTGTGCTGGAACTAGTAGTGCTGTGTAATATTTAAAAATATTGTTTCCAATATTATTTCTGTAATCTTTATAAATTGTATAAACCTTACTTGCTTAACAGGCCCAGAGGGCCATGTCAATTTTTGCAATTATTTGAAGTCATCGGCGTTTTGCATTTGCGCCGATTTTTTCTTTCACTTGCGCTGATTATTTCTTTCATTTGCGCCGATTGTTTTACAGGTAAATTACAGGTGAAAACTATTTTTATTTATCATTAAATACCTCTTCCGCTAGCCAGTTATGCATATGTTATGAATCATCAATTAAAACATATAACTGTTGCCCCCTGCCCACAATGGGGAGGTGGAAGTAGGATTTCGAGCAAAAAAAAATCAATTTTAAGGTTAAAAGCACTCTCTTTATATCCACTAAAATAACTGAGTATAGCAATAAAATATCAAATGATATAAAAATCTATTTACAGCCTTTAAAATATCAACATGATCAAAGGACAATAAAACCTCTTTACGCCATGAAAAAGCACAGCACTAAAATACAAAAAGGAGCAAATGGAACTTGAAACTATTGAATCGGCGCAAATGAAACAACCAAATCGGCGCAAATGAAACAACCAAATTGGCGCAAATGAAAGATTGAACATTTATAAAATCGGCGCAAATGTCATACGCCCGAAGTCATCTGTCATCCATTTTTTTGAAAAAGTGCTTTGAAAGGGCTGGACCATTTTGGACCTAATTGTGTGAAACTTGTGGCATTTATTTTTACAAAAACCTTTCCAAAGACACTGCTTCTTGTTAGTCAAATGCTTATGATTGCCATATGAAAAAATATTTTCTCATACATTATAAAATGAAGTGTTATTGAAAGTTATTAAATTACTTCAATTAATTTTTTGGGCATTTTACTCTTGAGTTTGACAAGATACCAATGTGGTTCTCCTCATTAGGTCTCACAATCAGAAAGTTTGTGAACTCACTTGCATTTTTTTTAATTGAAAGTAAGATTAACTGCTTTTTTCAAACTTTTGTGAATTATTCCGACGATGTTTGACATTATATTATGTAAGTAGTACCTTGAAATGACCTTATAGGTATTGCATAATAACTGCATCCAACACTGAGTGAGTCAATAGCATGTATGGATGCAAGATGGTGGATACATGCTCCTTTAGTTTCTAGTTTTCAGGGTTCAAAATATGTTTTTTTTTTATGATGAGGGTTCTTCAAGTAAAACTGTTTTAATTTTGGTTTAAATTTAAATATCTTTCTGTCAATTGTATAAAAGAAAAGGGTCAAAATATCTTATTATTGCATATAGCACAAGTACAGCAATTAAATTACTGTGGATTCATTTATTTTCGTGGGTACCAATATTCGTGGATTAAGGAAAACTTACATGTTCATAGAAATTAAATTTCTTGGTTTTACCAAAGTCTGCATACAAGCCTATAGAAAATTTGTTATTCGTTGAACATTTAATTCGTGGTTCACCTGTACCCACGAAAACCACGAAAATTGGTATCCAACGAATAATAATGAATCCACAGTAGTTGTAATAATAGTCAACTTTGTGATTAATCTTGTATGTTGTGTATTTGTTCAAAAATACCATTTTTATTTGGACTTGTCCATATTAAGAAGTACTATGATTAAAGGGAAAAATATTAATACCTTTAGTTAGATTTTTGTGAACTTTTAACTAACAGGGAGATTTTCAAAGAGAATTTTTGGAGTATTTCATTATAAGGAAGACAATTTGACAACATTCATATTCTTGCACATTTAGATTAAGAAGCATATAACAAAATGTCTAAACATGTGGTTTTATTGTTTATATGATTCATTAGACAACAAAGTGTACATTCTTAGGTTGCATTGATACTGGTGATTTTTTTAATAACTGTGGATTCGTTTATTTTCATTAGTACCAATTTTAGTGGATTTAGGAAAAATTGTATTTTTGTGGATATTTGATATGGTGGTTTTGCCAAAATCTGCATACAAGCCTATAAAAAATGTGTACTTCGTTGAACAAGTAAAATCATTACCATTATCCATGCAATCCACAAAAATTGGTATCCACCGAATAACAATGAATCCACAGTAAACCATAATGCCTTGTAGTATGAAAGTTGAAGACAGAATGGAAGTATATTTTTATGAGAGAGAAGAATGTTGTTTTTTATTTTGTTAGTTTTACAAGGAAACATGTATTTGTTATTATATCAATGACGTGTAGAGATTTCTATGCATCCTTTTATATTTTGTTGTTTGTATTGTTCTGTCCTTAATTTGAAAAATTGCACATTTTTTCGAAAATTATTTCATTTCTGATCGAAATATATTTGTAAAAAAAAGCAGTCCTCTTAAAAAAAGATCAAGTTGTTAATTTAACAGGTTTAATGCTTTATTATACTATTGTTGAACAACTTGGATTTTTATAAAGATCATGCATGGTTGTTAATAATCTGTCCCCATTACCATCAAACATTGTATGTAATGAATGTCATCTTCCAGAGAGAGTGTTGATATTGTCAAACAATGGAGAAGAAACATTTTATGTCATAGATTGAAAAAAAATAAATCTGTACAGATGATTTGAAATCTAACTGAGTGCCTGTATGTCAGCTGGTGATGCAATGTTTCCAGAAAAAGGAAAGCTAATATTTTGCAGCTTTCAAATTTTCTGTGTGTACTTGCAACTGCTAATTTTGCATTTTAAAAAGGTCTGTCCCCTGTAGTTGAAAAATCTCATTTTTACAGTTAAACTGTACAGATATGAAAAGACTTAAAATACAGGAAAATTGATGAACTCAAAATGAATTTACAAAAAATGATCCCAAAAAATATCCCCATATTTAGGGCATTCATGTGGTTAGTATATGTCAAACAATTCAGATACTTGATCAAACTTTGACTATTTATTCTGAGATAAGATGGTAGTTTGAGTTGTACTGTGGAGTACTTTATTTTCGTGGATGGATATTTGATTTCGTGGTTTTACCAAAGTCTGCATACTATCCTATAGAAAATTTGTACTTCTTTAAATATTAGAATTTGTGGTTCACCTTTACCCACGAAAACCACGAAAATTTGAATTCTAATGAATTCTAATGAATCCACAGTATGACATTCTTTAAAATAATCGTAGGTATGACAGTTATAAGTACATTTTACCACACGTTCCCACTTGTAAGATTGAACACATTTCCACTGTCATCAGTTGATTGACAGATATTCTTTCTAGCTTGATCAAAACTGAATCAATCTTACACGGAGATTGATTAGCTACCAGAATAGTCTTCTGATCAGTAAATTTACTTATGTCTTATTACCTACTGTGCATTTTTGCTTAATGTGGATTCGCATGGCATATGATGCAAGCATAGCAGGAGACAATTATCCTATCAACCCACCATGCATCCCTCTGATTAAATTTCATGCGATTCAGTGAGTTTTTTTTTTAAATCTTCACTTTAATATTCTAAATGGATTGACAAGATTTAAACATTGGTCAACTATGTTCCCTTTTATTGATCAAGATTTCTGAAATCAGAAAAAAAAAACTCTCAATGGTATTTTGCATCAGTTTGTATTTTTCACCCAAATATTTTGAAAAAAACTTGATATTTACACAAAAGATTCGCTTTAGAAATAGAATTGTCTTTTGAAGGAAAATTGGTTAAGGGAGATAACTGACCTTGTTTCTGTTTACTGAATTGAAATGTCTGTCTAAAATCTCTAAAGATTAATTGTTAATAAGTTAATTGATTATAAGATTGACTTGATCTTGGTTGTTATAGAGGTCACAACTGTGTATTGTATGATGTTATTACAATATTTTAGATAATAAAATCATTTTTATGTGTTGAGATTGTATTTTCATAATACTAAGCAAGCAATGAAAAAAAAACTTTTAAAAAAATCACATGAAGTGTTATCATTTGTTCATGTGAAATAAAAAAAAAAAACATAAAACATTTAAAAAGCTAGGTCCATTTCACTAGAAAACTATAAACCTGTCCTGTATCACAACTTCTTGTCATAGAAAGATCTTACAACAAAGAAAAACAAAACATGTTAGAAAGATTATATTCAACTCTAAAGTGTTTTTAGCAAGCAATGGAAAAAACAAAAACACATCCATTTATATTCTTAGAGCCTTTCCTATAGTGTGCTAAAATCATTGTTTTTGGAAAGATTGTAACTATTGTTCCAATTCTCTTCCTAAGGCACCAGCCTCACAAACAGAAAGTAGACAGATTGGCTACTAAATCTATACTCACTGATATATAGTTCCCATTTTTTTCCTAAGGCACCACCCTCCCAAACAGAAAGTAGATAAATTGGCTACTAAATCAGTAACTAAATCTATACACACTGACATATAGTTCCCATTTGTTGTCGTCCATCGTTGTCGTCGTAGTCGTTAACTTTTTACATTTTGAACTTCTTCTAGAGAACCATTGAATGGAATGAAATCAGACATGCCCTGAATGTTCCTTATGAGGTGATGACCAAGTGTTCTTACTTTGTAGCCGATCCATCATCCAAGATGGCCACCAGCGGGGGACTTCGTTTAACATAGGACCCTATGGACAATACATACAAATGTTCTCTTTTAGAGAACCATTGAATGGAATGAAACAAAACATGGCATGAATGTTCCTTATGAGGTGCTGACCAAGTGTTGTTACTTTGAAGCCGATCCATCATCCAAGATGGCCGCCAGCGGGGGACTTCATTTAACATGGGACCCTATGGACAATACATACAAATGTCTTCTTTTAGATAACTACTGAATGGAATGAAACAAAACATGGCATGAATGTTCCTTATGAGGTGCTGACCAAGTGTTGTTACTTTGAAGCCGATCCATTATCCAAGATGGCCGCCAGCAGGGGACTTCATTTAACATGGGACCCTATGGACAATACATACAAATGTCTTCTTTTAAAGAACCACTGAATGGAATGAAACCAAACATGGTATGAACGTTCCTTATGAGGTGCTGACCAAGTGTTGTTAATTTGTAGCAAATCCATCAACCGAGATGCTTGCCAACGCGACACTTAGTTTAACAAAGGACCCTACAGGAAATATATACAAAAGTCTTCTAGAAAACCGCCTAATGGATTGAAACCAAACACGGTATGAATGTTTTTTTTGAGAAGCTGACCAAGTGTTGTTACTTTGTAGCTGATTTGTCATTGTCCTTATAAAGTCATTTTCTACAATTTCAATAAATTTATTGGTAATTTCTTTAAAAGTTACAAAAGTCTTCTGCTTTTGATTAAATTGCGGGGCCAATATTAAACCAAATTTGGCCTCAATCATTACTAGGGTATATTGTCTCGCCTTGTCGGAGTCAAAAAGCGAGACATAAGTATGCTGTTTCCGGTGTCGGCGGCGACGGCAGCGTCAACAATGTATTAGTTTGTGATTAGGTCTAGTTCATGGTGAACCACTAGTGGCAGGTCAATGATATTTTGTATGCAGTTGTATTAGCATTGGCACATCTCATTACCATAGAGATTATTTGGCCCCGCCCCCTCAGTCAAGGTCTATTGACTTTGAAACTTTTCATAGTTTACATGTATTAGTTTGTGATTAGGTAAATTTATGGGGAACCACTTGTGGTAGGTCAATGTTAATTGGGATATTTAAATAAATGCTTTAATATTAATGCACTTGTATAAGCATTAGCACATCTCATTTCCATGGAGAATATTTGGCCTCGCCCCCTCAGTCATGGTCTATTTACTTTGAAACTTTTGCTTAGTTTACATGTATTAGTTTGTGATTAGATCAGTTTAAGTTGAACTGCTAATGTTAAGTCAATGATATTTGGTATGCAAATTTATTGGCATTTGCAAGTATTGTTTCCATGGAGATTATATAGCCCCACCCCTGATCATGGTTCATTGACTTTGAAACTTTTACATAGTTTACAAGTTAATGTTTGTGTTTAGGTTTGTTTAAAGGGAACAACTTATAATAAGTCAATGGTATTTGGTATGCAGTTGTATTAGCATTGGCACATCTCATTCCATGGAGATTGTTTAGCCATGTACCTTCAGTCATGGTTCATCGACTTTGAATATTTGCATAACTTACATGTTAAAGTATTGCTATCTTAATTTCAACATTTGCATTATCAAAATTACAAAAAGGCCAGACATATCTCTGTAATAAAAGTTTATTTTGTTAAGTAACTGTACTGAAGTAATTTTGAATTTTTTTTTTATAATTATCTATTATAAACTGTTGTTTAAAACTGCAAATACATATTGTCTGTCATTACTTTTTCATTGAAACTTGTTAGATTTTTGTCTTTGTTTTTTTAATTTATAAAATTATACATGAAGTACATGTTTTCTATAAATCATTTGTCAGAGTGTTTTGGTTATCTTTTTTTTCTATATGAGGGGAGATAACTATATTTTTATTGATATTTGTGTTAATAATTACTAGAAGTTTTTTATGGTGACGTTATAGTCAATACCTCCTTGCTGAAAACTTGGTTTACATTGAATAATAGAAAAAACAAACGGTATTCATCCGTGACACAAAATCAGTTCATGCACAGCAAATAACACACAAAAAGCAAAGGAACAGTGCTTTTCTTGCTATTCTTCATCTCAAAGTCACAGTGAGTGCTATCTGAACT